CAAGAGACCTTTGAGTGGAAGATTGTTTGTTGATCAGCATGTCATGTTGTTTTATCACCTGGTGCATCAAGTGACTCTGATCGTGAAGGTTTAAGTTTCCGAATGTTAGTTTTGGTTTCCGAACGTTCGTTTCCGAGTCCGGGTGTTTTAGTTTCCGAAGCTGAGTTTCCGAATCCGCGTGCCCGTTAGTTTCCGAGTCCGCGTGTCTGTTAGTTTCCGAATCTGCGGTTTTAGTTTCCGAATCCGCGCGTGACCGTTGCACCTGACCTGGCTCTGCACCAAAAAGCCTCCCAGACCTTCTTCAGAACCTTCTCGGGAACCCTGTTGAACCTGACCTGGCTCTGCACCAAAGCCTTCCAGACCTTCTCCGGAACGTTCGGAACCTTCTCCAGAACCTTGTTGAACCTGACCCGGGGGCTGCACCAGTGCACACCGGAGCTGTTCTGGGCTGAAGGCCCCATTAGCTTACGCTGTTGGGGAACAATCAAACAAATTGACAGACAGACACATTACACAGAACAACACAACACAAAACAAAACAAAACAAAACAAACCAAACCAAACCAACAAACAAACCAAAAACCAAAAACCAAAAACCAAAAACCAAAAACCAAAACAGCAAAAACACAAAACAAACAAACAAACAAACAAACAAACAAACAAACAAACAAAACCAAACAAACAAAACCAAACAAACAAAACAAAACAAACAAAACAAAACAAACAAACAAACAAACAAACAAACAACCAAGCAAACAAACAAACAAACAAACAAACAAACACACACACAAACAAACAAACAAACACACACACACAAACAAACAAACAAACACACACACAAACAAACAAACAAACAAACAAACAAACAAACAAACAAAATAACAAAATAACAAAATAACAAAATAACAAAATAAACAAAATAAACAAACAGACAAACGAAAGTTCGAACAAACAAACAACCAATTAATTGTAATACATTTCAAAGGCAGGCCAGGCATTTGCTCCTTGAAAACACATTTTGAAGACAGTGTTGCAAAACCTTTTGGGACGCTCCGCTCTTGGTTTTTGTGGTACACTGGTACACATTTGTAAAACATGACACTCTTTTGAGGCCCTCTCGTGGGCCACGAATCGTGAATTTGCAATGGCTTTGCAATCCTCGGCAGAACTAGAATTTGAGTAATCATCTGCAATTTCTTAAGTGCCACGAAATTTTGGGTAAATTTTCATTTTTGGCGAGTTAAATATGTGTGGAACTATCGGTTAATGGTTTTTCAATAGTGGAGGGCCCCCTTATTTGGTTGATGTTTTTTTGTCCCGCAAATCTGAGAAGCTGGGAAAATTGGAGTACTTCTTGCTCACACACCGTGCAGAGCTTTGGGGGCAGAACTCGAATCATCCAGAGACTTTTTCGAGGCCTGGTGGATGAAGTGTATGCACCATAGGATAGAACAACGGTTTTTATCAACATTGGGAAATCAAACACGAATGAGTCAGCAGGTCTAGCTGGAAGATCATTATTTCGACGGCAACATATTCGATCTAAATCGATAGAAATTGGAGATTTTCTGGCCAGTCAGGTTAGATTACCAGACGACATTTATAAAGAGCAGCGGACATGAGTTCATGTGTTTATTTGTGTACATGCCGAACCTAACACGCCTTGTCGACACCTTGTTTGACTCAACACTTACACACTATGGAGGCTCGCAAACTCTTTTCTGCATGGCTGGTTGGGTTGCGCGACAACAGGAGAGGCTTTCTTTAGTGACGGTGTGTGATCAAAACCCCAAATCCCTGGTTGATGGTTGTCGATTCTGCTTTTTTGCAACACATGCTATTCATCATCTTCAGATAGTGTGCCCACTGTGTTTTACCAAATCTGGGGTGACTCCATGCGCTTGGGTCAACTTACTGGTAGAGCGAGTGTAGATGTTTCCAGGCGGCTGGGGTGATTTAACGTGACCGGGGGTGACTTGTGACCTTTACTTATACTCTATTAACTTCGTCTGACTGCTTTGATGATGATCTTTATCCAATATATCGACCCCCTGTCAACCAGTGGGCAGGGATGACGGAGGGTTTGGGCACTGCTGTTCGACACCTTTGCCTCCACTAATGTATGGGGAGTATTTGGGAGTATATGGTTGGGCGGGAGGGTTACTGTAGCTTCAAGCCACTCCAACGCCACGCGGAATGTTGACCACTAGCACTATTGCTGCTTATTCAAGGTTCCATCCTGTACTGGCCCTAAAGTCTTTCTTACCATTCTTGAGTATGCAGATCAACTGAAAGCGGCTAGCAACTGAGCCCACTAGATGCACATCAACGACGAAGGAGCGAACCACCTACCATTTTGTATCCGGATGGGCTGCCTATGGCTGGCAGCAAGGAGGCAGTTGCGGGATTGTGTGTCGTTTGGCTTGTTTCCTCAAGATGGTTCTGCACGAGGGCGGTTGACCTGTGCTTGTGCCTATAGGATTATTGGGGTAGAACATGGCAGAGTGTCTTGGAGAGATTTTGAGACTTCTTGGAAAGAGTAGCTTTGGGTAGAAAATGAGTCCAGACTTGGGCCCTTCAAAAGTCGCGAGTCTGCACCACAGTTTTCCATGCTACCCATACTGCTGAAGGCAGTGTTGGTTTGGGCAGCAGCTTTCAATCTCACACTGGGGTGTGCGGTTTGTTGACTTCTGCTGAGAAACTGGCTAAGGCATCTACAACAAGTTTTCTATTTTTTTCCTGCGCACGTGTGCGACTTTGTGGCGCCTTTCTTGTTGCAGGGTGCGTTTGCTCTCAATTGCAGAAACAGAGAAACAGGACTTCACCAAAACATCTACGACATTTCTCCTTGGATTTGGAATCAAACGATCCCAGAATTGAGGGGTTAGATGCCACTCGAGTGTGGTTTAACATGTTCTGCACCAAGTTACTGTACCATTCCTTGAAGAGGCAAAAACAGCCACCTCAGAAGAATGTGGTTCGGTGCACTGTGGCATGGGTGCAGGCGATGGTGCAAGGAAACTTGAGGCAACTTTTCTCAGCGAAACAGGCACCTGAGCAGATGTTGCGCATGTCCAATCTCAAAATGCACCATGTGCAGCGAAACTTTCAGTTTAATCCCAGACCACTTCTATAGCAAAATCATGTTTTGTGTGCTGATTCGCTTGCATGGGCAATAAGTTTTGCGTGGGGTCACCGTCACCTAAGATGGATTGAAGGCAGCTTCCCATTGCATCTGGTTTTTGATGGGTTTTGATCTTCTCGTTTTGCCATTGCCTCCAGAGTTTTTTCAGTGACAAGTGCTGTGTTCTTGCCAACTCCAATTCAAAGATGCAAGTTGCATTGAATCTTGGGTTGTTATTGATACTGGGTGAAACGAATCACGTAGTCTTGTACTGCTGTCTCCTTGCCAAGTCAAAAGTAAACAGAGGGCAGCATTTCTCATCACAGCTGTTGGTATTTTCGATCGCCTGTGTCCCACAGAAGATGTCTTTGACCTCTTTCAGTTTAAGTCCACAACAACCTTCTGTGAACTTGAGGCACGAAGTCCTTCTGAATCCTTCTGGAAGAATTTTCAAATGACACCACCAGCTGCAAGGCGAGGGACAATGGGAAATTTCTGTACCGTACTTTACAATGTAGCAAGACATTTCTAAGCATAAGACTGTAGACCTGCTGAGTCTGATATTGTTTGAGTTCCCGGAAGTGAAAACCACCGACAACTCCGGAAAGTATTGAGCGAAATTTCAGACAGGGTCCTATACCAGGATAGCCAAGTTGTTCAAGAATGATCAAGAGGAGAGATATCCTTTTCAAGAGTTTGAGGATGTGTGAGGAAGGGTCTCCTATTGCATTCGAAAGTCAGGAGGGTCTTCAAGGAAGAAGAGCGGAGGTCTTCAAAAGGAGTTTTGAGGTATCAAAGTCATTCAAATTCATTGAAAGTCATTCGAACGATTCAAATTCATTCAGAGTCATTCAAAGTCATCGCATTCAGGTGCTCCTTCGCTCTGCAGAGCAGAAGCAGTGCTGTAGACGGAGAGGGCTTCAACCGAGTCATCTGGCTGCATTGGACAGCAACTGGCACTTTGATGCGTCAGAGCAGGTGATGCTTTGCAAAAACGGGTTAATTCATCTAACTCAAAGATGCAAGTTGCATTGAATCTTGGGTTGTTATTGATACTGGGTGAAACGCATCACATAGTCTTGTCATGGCACGAACTGCTCTCTCCTTGCCAAGTCAAAAGCAAACAGAGGGCAGCATTTCTCATCACAGCTGTTGGTATTTTCGATCGCCTGTGTCCCACAGAAGATGTCTTTGACCTCTTTCAGTTTAAGTCCACAACAACCTTCTGTGAACTTGAGGCACGAAGTCCTTCTGAATCCTTCTGGAAGAATTTTCAAATGACACCACCAGCTGCAAGGCGAGGGACAATGGGAAATTTCTGTACCGTACTTTACAATGTAGCAAGACATTTCTAAGCATAAGACTGTAGACCTGCTGAGTCTGATATTGTTTGAGTTCCCGGAAGTGAAAACCACCGACAACTCCGGAAAGTATTGAGCGAAATTTCAGACAGGGTCCTATACCAGGATAGCCAAGTTGTTCAAGAATGATCAAGAGGAGAGATATCCTTTTCAAGAGTTTGAGGATGTGTGAGGAAAGGTCTCCTATTGCATTCGAAAGTCAGGAGGGTCTTCAAGGAAGAAGAGCGGAGGTCTTCAAAAGGAGTTTTGAGGTATCAAAGTCATTCAAATTAATTCAAAGTCATTCTGAAAGTTCTGTGCTGTCCGATTCATTCACTGTTGGCACATGCATGTCCGCTGAATTCATTCCTTGATTCTTTTGTCCAAGGGCCCTTAGCCAGATTTCACTTTTCTGCATTCGCGGTGACAAATGGCAGCTCCTTTGCACTGTTGACACTTGTGACTTGAGATTTCATCCTCTATTAGTTGGCACCGGAGCCTTTTACCTCTGAGTTGTCATGCCAACATGGAATTCGATGAACCAACCTGCAGATGTGTTTGATCATGAGTGGCCACCCGAAGATGTTGATGAGTATGAGAATCACTACTTTGAGGAGGAATGGCCCCTAGGTGAAACAGACCTGCATGACGACTTAGATGATCCGATCCAGGCCCCGCAGTCTTTCAATGTGAATGAGCCCAATCCTGGTAGACCTGACGTGCCAGTTGTGGCTACTCCAAGGCTGTCTTGGTGTTGTCTGAGGTGTGATGCATTTAACTATGATTGGAACCCGGAGGCAGAGAACTGGCAATGCACTGAGTGTAGTGGCACTGAATTCTATAAGACAGATCGCCCCACGAAGATCGTGCGTGAGCATGGTTCTTGGTTGTATCTCCCATTTGGTCACGATGCCCCTGCTTCATCGTCACAGAAGAGAAGGCGAAGGCGTATGAGAGGCAAGTATGATCCATCTGGTGATGACTCACTGCCCCGTGAAACTGCAGAGTCAGAAGTTCCAACCGCTGACCCAGTTGTAGAGGTTGAGCCGAGACAGACTCATGCGGCTCAGCTTCCACTTGGATCTCATAGACATGACCTACCAGCCACTCGTAGATCGATTCATGCATCTCCTTCTGCCAAGACTTCGGATGAGCGTTTGGTGGCAGCACTCACCAAAGCTTTGGACAAGAAGAGCGACTCCGAGGAGTGGTCATCCTTGAAGGGCCCCTTCAAAGGAGTTCGATGGCGCGGTGGCACTCCACCTCACCCGCCAACATGGAGCTATGACAAAGACGACTTGAGAGCCTACAACAAGTATGTCAAGAAGGTAGAGATTTGGATGCTGCAAGTGGCACCCTACATGACTAAGAAAGAGGCTGCGCTGCAACTCTATGGAGCCCTCCAAGGAGAAGCAGAGCAAGAGCTTGAACACACCCCAGTCTCCGAAATCTACTGTGATGACGGAGTGCAAAAGATTCTGAGCGCTCTTCAAGCTCCAATGGAACAGAAGCAGATCTACCAGAAGCGTCGATATCTCCATGAATTTGAGAACCTTCGACGAAATCATGGAGAAACACTTCGTGCGTATGTCAATAGATTTCGAAGAGTCCAGAGGTCTCTGCGATCAGTTGGCATAGAAGTGTCGTATACATACGACTCAGAATCACTTGGTGCTCGACTTCTAGACAGGAGTGGGCTGAGTCATGAACAGCAGCGCATGTTACTTGTGGGAACAAGTCAGAGTCTTGCTTTTGATCAGTTGGCAGAGGCAATGGTTCTCCAATTTCCTGACTATCGAGGTGCACCACCGATTCTTGGAGCCAATGGTAGAGAAGTTTCAAAGGGTTCTTCCAAAGGAAAGCCTTCATCCTCTCCGAGCTCTACGGCAAGTTCGTCGAGCTCTACTACCAATTCACACACCTCCTATCGAACTTCGTCCACTGCCCTCAGTAGCTCGTCTGGCAAAGGTGGCAGTGTTAAAAGAGCCTTTGTTGCGGAAGTTGAACAGCCAGCCAATGATGACACACCCGAGAATCTTGAGACTATTGATGAAGAACCGCAAGCAGAAGAAGAAGCTGACCAATCAGCTGACAGCGAACACACAGCCCAAGAAGGTGATGATCCTGATCTCTCAGAACTAGCCGAAGTCCTCACCATCACTGCAAAGAAGTTGAGTGGTTTGACGCTTGGTCGAAAGTGGGCCAAGTCTAAGCCTTCTGGCCCTAGAGATCGTGCGAGTCCATCGGATGCCAAGAAGCACACTCATTGCAGTGCTTGTGGTGCCAAAGGCCATTGGTATCAGGACCCAGAGTGTCCCAAGAACCAAGGCACTTCTTCTAGGTCACCTCCGTCGAACCGTGTGCCTGACAAAAAGCGACATGCTGTTGGCGTTATTCATCATGAACATGGAGCAGTTTCTATTCATGATCAGCAAGAACAAGAATATGGTCAGATCTTTTCAGTTGGCATGATTCACAACATGGATATTCACCATGCTTTTACTGCAGCGCATGTCGACGTGTTTGCGGGTTTTCTAGTTTTGGATTCCGGATGTCAGAGAACATGTTGCGGCAAGCAGTGGATGAATGCCCACCTGACCAAGTTGAAACAATTTGATTTGCTCCCCTACTCAGTCAAAGCGGAAGATGTTTTTCAGTTTGGCAAAGGATCACCTTCTAAGTCAAGTACAAGAACGTTTTTGCCATCAGGAGTTGGAGGCGAACCATTTCTTTTGGGCACATGTGTTTTAGAAGAGAACATTCCATGCTTGGGATCGAACTCACTGCTTACACAACTTGGTGCTGTTTTGGACCTGAGCGCCGATCTGGTTACATTTAGGAAACTAGGAGTCACTACAAAGATTCATCGACTAGGAGGTCACATGGCCATCGACATCATGGATTTTTCTCAAGACAGCTTTGACCAGAAATTTTGGAAAGAAATGTTTGACCACGTGACACCAGAGGACTCTGAAATCCTTTTGCCTTCAATCTCGTGTCCGAGCAATGCACCAGCCTCCACCAGCATGGTTGGCGTCATGGCGTCGGATAGTGCTCATCATCAAGAACGTGTTCAAGGTCTTCATCCGCCAAGCTGTGTGTCTCATCAATCTGAGCCTAATGCCCCGAGACGTACTTCAAGCACTACCACCACAAGTGAGCATCAGAGCCAGTCCAGACACATGCGATCACTTCCAGTGCAAGAGGTACGGCAATCCACGAGGCAGATTTGCACAGTGCCTTCAATGCCTGACCAAGTGGAAGTGGAACGAAGCCCTCGAAAAGTGGCAGCCTCATGGACCAAGCGCACACTCTTCGCGATTGCGACCTTTGCCACCACCATCTTCGGCAACGATCGCAACTTCAGCGCCATCTTCAACAGCGGCGACACGTGCAGCCACGTCCAAAGCGAAAGCCAAAGCCACACCGGGACCCACTTCCAACACGTCAGCAGCCCCTCAGACTCAATGGACATCCTTCGACGACATGGAGCTCCACATGGACCACTTGACGGAGGAGGAGCAAGTGGAAGTCATGCAGATCATGATCCAAGAGAGTCCCATACGCGCACTCCAAATGGGCACTCACAACTGGATGTGGGAGGCTTGGGCCAACGACCCAGGCCACGAGGAGGATCGTCAGAGGGTGGAGCTGCAGACAGATCAGAAGCGATGGGACAGACTCATCGAGTTGGGAGTGATCCAGAATCCGGACAGCGAGATCTACGACTTCGAGTGGAACGAGGTGGATCCATGACCTTGAAACCTGGAACCGCCAAGAGGCTGAGAGGTCAGTGGAAACAGTCTGCCAACATCCTTTTGTCAGAAGTCAATATCACACAAAGAATCACACCAACGTCTTCAAGACCTTCACCCAGCGTTGATTTATGGGAGCTCTTTGCAGGTGAAGCCCTGTCCACGAAGCTCGCCCCTGAGTATGACCTGGATGTCCTCCAACCGTATGACTTGATCTATGGACAGGACTTCATGAAAGAGGAAGTGCAAAACAGCATTTTCAAGACCTTGAGACGGTTTCGTCCTCTCCTTACTTTGATGGGACTGGACTGCCGTCACTACAACTTGTTCCAGCTTCAACAAGGTGACGCTCCACTGAGACAGATGGCAGCATCAGTGGCAGAAGAGCAGTTGAAGAACAACAGATACTTTCTGATGCGGTCAGAAGTGTGGGAGACCCCAGAGATGGAACGGTTGAAACAACTTCCTGGAGTATGGACGGTAACATGTGATTCAGGAGTTTTTGGGCTTATGGTTCACGGTCACAATGTTGCAAAACCAATCACCTTCATCGGTAACATTCCAGGTCTTGATGAGCAACTTTCTCGAAGACTTCTCCCAGAACAACGACAACAATGCACACCCATTCAAGGGAAGCTCACTCGTGCTTCTCAGGCCTATCCTGAGGAACTCTGCAGAACAATTCTGGAAGCTCTGAGACGAGTTGCTCGCGAGCTACAACCTCAGCGCTTCTGCACTCGACAGCGTGGAGTCCATCAAGCACTACCAGTCCAACAACCAACGACTGATCTGGCAGCTTGGGACTCCGTGTATCAACATCTTGATGCAGCGTTCAGCCAATCAAGCAAACGACCCTTCCTGATCGCCACCAACAGCGAGATGGGGAAATACATTCAATCACTTTTCAGGATTGACGCCATCAAGATCCAAGCAGTTGCGAGCCCAACTACCAGGCGCATTCCCAGCAATGTTGACGAATGGTCGACTAGAGCATGTTGTCTCTTCTTTGCAGATGATGATCGCAAAGTAGAAGTGGAAGACCTAGACAATGTGAGGTTTCCAAAGCAGAAGTTCCACAAGACTGTCAGATACGCAGTCTTTGCTTATGGTGCCCGACGAGAACTGCCAGCAACGTCGGAACAGCAGCAACCTGAGCAAACAGAACCTGGACCAGCGATTGTCCCTGGATTGCCCACCGACATCGACTTTCCAGGTACGTCTCAGCAGTCACTGTCCCAAGAGGTGAAGCGTACTGTCGCACGACTACATCTCAATTTGGGACATCCAACATCACAAGAACTATGTCGACTGTTGGCTTACGAAGGCAACGTTCCAGACATGGTTTATCAAGCAGTTCGGCATCTACGATGCGCCACTTGCGAAAGATTGAAACCACCACAAAAACCAAGGCCTTCAACAATGCCTTCATTGACAGTGGGACAGTTCAACGATGAGCTGCAGGCAGACATATGCTACTGCCGTACTGTTACAGCCACCACCTTCATGATTTTGGGCGTAGTTGATAGGGCCATGGGATTGCACCAAGCAGGCATTCTCGACGACCGAAACAGTGAAACATGTTTTCAGCTTCTCCATGATCTTTGGCTTCGACCCTTTGGTTTGCCTCTACGTCTTCTTTGTGATCCTGATCCTTCCTTCAAGGGCATGTTTCAACATAGAGTTCAGGCGATAGGCATCCACCTGGACTACTGTCCACCAGAAGCTCACCATATCATCGGCATGATAGAGCGACGGAACTCAGTGCTGAGGTTGATCTTGGAAAAGCTGATAGATCAATTTGCTGTTGACATTCCAGAACGGTGTCAAGTTTTGGTTTCTGCAGCATGCCATGCCATCAACTCACAGATCCAAACTCATGGAAGAAGTGCCTACCAGGCAGTTTTTGGAAGGCAGCCCAGGTTGCTAGATAGCAACTTCAACGACCCAATGATCCTGGCCACATCATCCTCAGCCATCAGGGATGAGACCAATCCAGGACTACGAGCTGACCTTGTTAGAAATGAGGCCATCAAGACACTCCACAACCTCGACGTTAGCCAGCACTTGCGTCGAGCTCTCTTGCGGAAGACTCGCAAGACCAACATTGCAGATTTGCAGCCAGGACAGAAGTGTGCATTCTGGCGATGGAGCCGAAGAGGTGGACCTCGTGGACCTCGTAAGAGAGGAACTTGGGTGATAGGCAGATTCTTGAGTTGGGACCCATCTCACCCAGGAAAACAAGCTTGGATTCGAAGTGGTGCAACAACAATCCTAGCCACCGCAGAGCAAATTCGAGCTGCTTTTGGGTTCGAAGATTGGGCACCAGATCCCCAAGATATCGCAGCACTAAAGAATGCGTCTACAAGCTTTACAGACCAGCTACTCGATGACCGGGGTCCTGAACCACCAGACCTGAACATCGAGGATGATGACATCTTTGACCCTGAGAGTGCTGCCATCCCACCAACACCATCAATGATGGTACCTGCCACACCAGTTCCACAGACCGAACCACCAGCCAAGCCAGCATCATCCTCGATGCAGCCTCGACAATCAGATACTGTCATACAACAACAGTCCACCATTCAGGTGAACATTGACAGTCCTACACATATCACCAACAAGACGATGCAGTTTCAACGCTTCGGAGACATACCAACCCGAAGCAGAAAGCACAGGTCACGAACACCAAACTCCCGGAGGACAGAGGTGCGTGATAAACCAGTTTCACAACCACCAGCTGAACTACCACCAGCTGAAGCACCAACAATTTTGCCGCCTGCCGCGACAATGACTGATGAACAACCATCAACATTGACTTTGCCGCAGCCAACCGAGGAGCAACAATCCCTCGAACATATGCCACCGCAGACAGTTTCACAATTCCTTGGACAAGGGGACACCATTTTGGACCCCACAGAGCCCGAGCAACACCAACCAGGCCCAACACAAGGGTCTACGGCTCAAAGTTCGGCTTCTCAAACAATGCAACATGATGTGGTGCCAGAAACACCACAAGTGATTGAGGTTGAAGATGACTCCACGGACAACATGTTACCACAGAAACGAACATTTGACAGCCTCATCACATTGCGACCACTGGGGCACAACAAAATCCAACGAGTCAGTAGCCAATGGGATGGATCACCACTGATTGGATTCGGCCCCAAGAGCAATAGGTACCACAAAGCATACTTGACAACACATCAGAGAAAACAAGACGTTTTGCAAGAGAACAAGCCACCTGAGGAGCCAGACACAACTGACGACTCTAGCTCGGATGAGACCGAGCAAGTCAACAAGCCCCAAACAATGCAGCTAGCACTCAAAACGAGCAGCAAGCAAAAGCAAAGTGGCAAGACAGCACTGCAGCCAATGCAACCAGCCTACAAGCAAGGCATGACACGACAAGAAGTCAAAGCACTGGATCGCGAGATTCCATGGAGAACCATCCTCTCCATGCCTCCATCCTATGTCGACAAGTTCCTGGCCGCCATCGACAAGGAGGCGGTGGCCTGGCAACAATGGCAATCAGTAGAACCCCTGTCTGACAAGCAGGCTCAAGAAGTGTTCAGTGACCCAGTGTTGTCTAAGAGAATATTGCCCAGCCGGGCATGCTACAGAGACAAAGCTTGCGGCATCGGTGATGTCGTTGCCAAATGCCGAATCGTGGCCTTAGGCCATCTTGACCCTGACCTGCAACAGTTGTCCAGGAATGCTTCAACCCCTGGAAGAATCGCCGAGCACATCATGTTCCTGATGATAGTAAGTGGATCCAACAGGTGCTTGTTTGATACTCAACAACTTTGGATCACTTGGATTGGAGACGCAAAGACAGCATTTCTCCAAGGAGTTCAAGACCCTCAGGAACGAGATGGACCTTTGTTCATGCGACCACCAAGGGACGGCCTTATCAGCCGTACAAATCACTGGACAGCCGCACTATACAGGATAAGGGGGAACGTGTACGGCCTTGCAAATGCACCAATTACCTGGCAACGTGAAGTATGCCGCCGACTCGCCCATTTGAAATTTACTCAACACATGTTTGACAAGCAGCTGTACGTCAAATACACCGACTCTGGTGAAGTGCAAGCAGCAGTCCTAGTCTATGTTGACGACTTCGTAGGAGTTTATCGACAAGACTTTCCCATTCAACAAGTGTATGATCTTTTTCAATGGGGATCTCGACAAGAACTGGAAGTGGGCAAACCAGTGACTTTTAAAGGCAAGGAGTTGACCCTCATAGAAGACAAACACGGCAAGATCAACCTTCATATCACTATGAAGAAATTCATTCAAGGACTCGATACTGCAAAGGTCATCAGAGGCCGCAACACAGACGACCACTTGAATGAGCATGAGCAGAAAGAACTAAGAAGCGTGTGTGGATGTCTTCAATGGCTTGCAACTCAATGCAGACCAGAAGTGGCGGCATCAGTTAGTCTCGTGCCTCACGGTGCTGAAGCTAGGGTCAACGACCTAAAGTCCCTCTATGGCATGCTTGACTACATAAAGAACACACCTGACCAAGGTCTACTGATCCCGTGTGTTCCATTGAACCGAAGCTCCGTAGTAGTTGCTTATAGTGATTCCTCATGGAATAATGCCTACAAGAGTGGTAGCCAGATTGGCACACTGATTGGAATCACTAGCCCAGAAGTGTTTGAAGCAGTTTCCAGTTTTGTCATCATTGACTGGAAGTCTAGTAGATCGCCCAGAGTTTGTAGGTCGACACTAGCAGCAGAAGCATCAGCAGCAGATGAAGCAGCAGATAGGTGCTCTTACGTGAATCTTTTCCTCAGTGAATTGCTGTGGAACACACCTGCGCATAGAGTAGGCACAAGACTGGCATCATTACACTTGGTAGATGCTAAGTCATTGTTCGATGCTGCAATTTCAGAGAACCCAACATTAAACGACAAACGAACCTTGGTGAGCATTCGATCGCTCCAAGAGCAGGCTCCGTTAGAGAGCATTCGTTGGGTTCCAACGCAGTACCAGTTTAGCGATGGCTTGACCAAAGTTGATGCAAAACTTCGTGAGAACTTTTCAAAGTGGCTGAAAGACCCTGTTTGCATCATCACGCAAGAAGCCATTGAACATGCACGTGCCAAAGAAAAATATTCCGGTGAAAGTTCTGTGCTGTCCGATTCATTCACTGTTGGCACATGCATGTCCGCTGAATTCATTCCTTGATTCTTTTGTCCAAGGGCCCTTAGCCAGATTTCACTTTTCTGCATTCGCGGTGACAAATGGCAGCTCCTTTGCACTGTTGACACTTGTGACTTGAGATTTCATCCTCTATTAGACATTCAAAGTCATCGCATTCAGGTGCTCCTTCGCTCTGCAGAGCAGAAGCAGTGCTGTAGACGGAGAGGGCTTCAACCGAGTCATCTGGCTGCATTGGACAGCAACTGGCACTTTGATGCGTCAGAGCAGGTGATGCTTTGCAAAAACGGGTTAATTCATCTAGCTCAAAGCTGCAAGTTGCATTGAATCTTGGGTTGTTATTGATACTGGGTGAAACGCATCACATAGTCTTGTCATGGCACGAACTGCTCTCTCCTTGCCAAGTCAAAAGTAAACAGAGGGCAGCATTTCTCATCACAGCTGTTGGTATTTTCGATCGCCTGTGTCCCACAGAAGATGTCTTTGACCTCTTTCAGTTTAAGTCCACAACAACCTTCTGTGAACTTGAGGCACGAAGTCCTTCTGAATCCTTCTGGAAGAATTTTCAAATGACACCACCAGCTGCAAGGCGAGGGACAATGGGAAATTTCTGTACCGTACTTTACAATGTAGCAAGACATTTCTAAGCATAAGACTGTAGACCTGCTGAGTCTGATATTGTTTGAGTTCCCGGAAGTGAAAACCACCGACAACTCCGGAAAGTATTGAGCGAAATTTCAGACAGGGTCCTATACCAGGATAGCCAAGTTGTTCAAGAATGATCAAGAGGAGAGATATCCTTTTCAAGAGTTTGAGGATGTGTGAGGAAAGGTCTCCTATTGCATTCGAAAGTCAGGAGGGTCTTCAAGGAAGAAGAGCGGAGGTCTTCAAAAGGAGTTTTGAGGTATCAAAGTCATTCGAAGTCCTCGCGTTCAGGTGCTCCTTCGCGCTGCAGAGCAGAAGCAGTGCTGTAGACAAAGGGGGCTTCAACCGAGTCATCTGGCCGCATTGGATAGCAAAAGGCACTTTGATGCGTCAGAGCAGGTGATGCTTTGCGAGGATAGGGTAAGTTAGCTTTCAAGATAGTGCACTCGCTTCTCACCATCATGACTCACTATTGTCACCATTGTCATCGTCGTCATTACTATTATCACCAGCAGCAGCATCATCACCAGCACCAGCAGCACCAGCAGTACCAGCAGCACCAGCAGCACCAGCAGCACCCAGCAGCACCAGCAGCAGCAGCAGCATCATCATCATCATCATCATCATCACCACCACCATCATCATCATCAACATCATCATCATCATCATCACCATTATCATCGTCATCATCATCATCATCATCACCACCATCATCATCGTCATCATCATCATCATCATCACCACCATCACCATCATCATCACCATCATCATCACCATCATCATCGTCATCATCATCGTCATCATCGTCGTGATTCTGATCATCATGACGATCATCACCATTCAAGGCTATCTTTTCTTTGTCCTCCTTTTTCTTTCCGCTCCTCTTCCGTCTCTTCCTCCTCTTTTCTCCTGTTCTTACCCTTCCTCCCCGTTCTCCTTCTTCTCCTTTTCCTTAAGTGTCCACCGAACATGATCCATTTTTAGTCTTGAAACGCTCTTTTTGAGAAAGGGTCCCCGCTTTGGCTGGATCTTTTTGACATCGTATATTTTTTTTCCCCTGCAGCCATTACAATTACACAGACAATTACACAGAACAACAGAAAACAAAACAAAACAAACCAAACCAACAAACAAACCAAACCAAACCAGCAAAAAAGAGAAAGAAACAGCCAAAACAAACAAACAGACAAATGAAAGTGCGAACAAACAAACAAACAAGCAAGCAAGCAAGCAAGCAAGCAAGCAAACAAGCAAACAAGCAAACAAGCAGACAAGCAAACAAACAGACAAGCAAACAAGCAAACAAGCAAACAAGCAAACAAGCAAACAAGCAAACAAGCAAACAAGCAAACAAGCAAACAAACAAACAAGCAAACAAGCAAACAAGCAAACAAGCAAACAAGCAAACAAGCAAACAAGCAAACAAGCAAACAAGCAAACAAGCAAACAAACGAACGAACGAACAAACAATCAAACAAACAAACAAACAAAATTCAATTTTCATTGATTTCAAAGGCAGGGCAGGGATTTGCTCCTTGAAAGACACATTTTGAAGACAGTGTTGCAATTCTTGTGGGACGCTCCGCTCTTGGTTTTTGTGGTACACATTTGTAAAACATGACACTCTTTTGAGGCCCTTTCTTGGGCCACGAATCGTGAATTTGTCCTCGGCAGAACTAGAATTTAAGTCGTGGTCTTGAATTTCTTAAGTGCCACGAAATTTCGGGTAGATTTTCATTTTTGGCGAGTTAAAGATGTGTGGAACTATCGGTTAATGGTTTTTCAATAGTGGAGGGCCCCCTTATTTGGTTGATGTTTTTTTGTCCCGCAAATCTGAGAGGCTGGGAAAATTGGAGTACTTCTTGCTCACACACCGTGCAGAGCTTTGGGGGCAGAACTTCCCACACTTGTCTCTCACTCTGGGTGCCTTGGGCCGCATGAGTTTACACTTGTCTCCCACTCTGGGTGCCTTGGGCCGCATGATTTTACACTTGTCTCCCACTTGTCCCTCACACTTGGGTGCCTTGGGCCGCATGAGTTTACACTTGTTTTCCACTTGTCTCCCACACTTGTCTCCCACTTGTCTCCCTAAATTATCCAGAGACTTTTTCGAGGCCTGGTGGATGAAGTGTATGCACCATAGGATAGAACAACAGTTTTTATCAACATTGGCAAATCAAACACGGATGAGTCAGCAGGTCTAGCTGGAAGATCATTATTTCGACGGCAACATATTCGATCTAAATCGATAGAAATTGGAGATTTTCTGGCCAGTCAGGTTAGATTACCAGACGACATTTATAAAGAGCAGCGGACATGAGTTCATGCGTTTATTTGTGTACATGCCGAACCTAACACGCCTTGTCGACACCTTGTTTGACTTAACACTTACACACTATGGAGGCTCGCAAACTCTTTTCTGCATGGCTGGTTGGGTTGCGCGGCAACAGGAGAGGTGTTCTTTAGTGACGGTGTGTGATCAAAACCCCAAATCCCTGGTTGATGGTTGTCGATTCTGCTTATTTGCAACACATGCTATTCAGCATCTTCAGATAGTGTGCCCACTGTGTTTTACCAAATCTGGGGTGACTCAATGCGCTTGGCTCAATTTAGGCAAAGTCGCGAGTCTGCACCACAGTTTTCCATGCTACCCATACTGCTGAAGGCAGTGTTGGTTTGGGCAGCAGCTTTCAATCTCACACTGGGGTGTGCGGTTTGTTGATTTCTGCTGAGAAACTGGCTAAGGCATCTACAACAAGTTTTCTATTTTTTCCTGCGCACGTGTGCGACTTTGTGGTGCCTTTCTTGTTGCAGGGGGCGTTTGCTCTCAATTGCAGAAACAGAGAAACAGGACTTCACCAAAACATCTATGACATTTTTCCTCGGATTTGGAATCAAATGATCCCAGAATTGAGGGGTTAGATGCCACTCGAGTGTGGTTTAACATGTTCTGCACGTACCATTCCTTGAAGAGGCAAAAACAGACACCTCAGAAGAATGTGGTTCGGTGCACTGTGGCATGGGTGCAGGCGATGGTGCAAGGAAACTTGAGGCAACTTTTCTCAGCGAAACAGGCACCTGAGCAGATGTTGCGCATGTCCAATCTCAAAATGCACCATGTGCAGCGAAACTTTCAGTTTAATCCCAGACCACTTCTATAGCAAAATCATGTTTTGTGTGCTGATTCGCTTGCATGGGCAATAAGTTTTGCGTGGGGTCACCGTCACCTAAGATGGATTGAAGGCAGCTTCCCATTGCATCTGGTTTTTGATGGGTTTTGATCTTCTCGTTTTGCCATTGCCTCCAGAGTTTTTTTCAGTGACAAGTGCTGTGTTCTTGCCAACTCCAATTCAAAGATGCAAGTTGCATTGAATCTTGGGTTGTTATTGATATTGGGTGAAACGAATCACGTAGTCTTGTACTGCTGTCTCCTTGCCAAGTCAAAAGTAAACAGAGGGCAACATTTCTCATCACAGCTGTTGGTATTTTCGATCGCCTGTGTCCCACAGAAGATGTCTTTGACCTCTTTCAATTTAAGTCCACAACAACCTTCTGTGAACTTGAGGCACGAAGTCCTTCTGAATCCTTCTCGAAGAATTTTCAAATGACACCACCGACTGCAAGGCGAGAGACAATGGGAAACTTCTGTACCGTACTTTACAATGTAGCAAGACATTTCTAAGCATAAGACTGTAGACCTGCTGAGTCTGATATTGTTTGAGTTCCTGGAAGTGAAAACCACCGACAACTAGGTGACAGCACCAAGCGAGGAGTATTGAAAGTATTGAGCGAAATTTCAGACAGGGTCCTATACCAGGATAGCCAAGTTGTTCAAGGACGATCAAGAGGAGAGATATCGTTTTCAAGAGTTTGAGGATGTGTGAGGAAGGGTCTCCGATTGCATTCGAAAGTCAGGAGGGTCTTCAAGGGAGAAGAGCGAAGGTCTTGAAAAGGAGTTTTGAGGTATCAAAGTCATTCAAATTCATTGAAAGTCATTCGAACGATTCGAACTCATTCAAAGTCATTCAAAGTCATCGCATTCAGGTGCTCCTTCGCACTGCTGAGCAGAAGCAGTGCTGTAGACGGAGAGGGCTTCAACCGAGTCATATGGCTGCATTGGATAGCAACTAGCACTTTGATGCGTCAGAGCAGGTGATGCTCTGCAAAGACGGGTTATATAATTCATCTTTCAAGCTGTCTTTGAAAACCACGAGCTTTTCTATACCTGGAGCAGAGGCGTGGCGTAGCCCGTTTGATTTGACACAGGGAAGATCTTGTGTTGTTTTTTTTTTTTCAAAAGGCTATGAAATCCAGCGCAGTCTGGAAACGGCGAAGGAAACTGTTAGACAACTTGGATCAGGCGATGCAGGCAGTGGTCAATACCACCAGAGCAGTTTCAGGTGCCGTCCGCCTTGCAGTGGGGAGGATGAGGGAATGCGACCGTTGACGATGCGATCTTACCTGAATAGTCAAACCAAACTTGATCATGTCCACCTCCGCGGGTTCCACTTTGATAGCAGATAATCATTTTGTGACAGCAGCCCGCCGATTAACCAACCAGAGTTTTTCAATCAGGCTCTGGCATCACCTGGGAAAGAACGTGACCCTCAAACATCGAGCTGTATGAATGATTCGAGTGACATTCCAGATCATGCCAGCTTCGTCAGTGATTGATTGGTTCTATCAAGAAGGAGTGCTTGGTTCCATGGCGTCCAGTACATCCCTCGGAACTTGACGTTCAATTTGAATCATTTTTAGGGGGATTGGGGTCCTCGTGCGACAGGGCGACTGACCAGTGGCTCCGCACCGGGACTTAACAGCAATGCGACCATGAAGGCTGGTGTTGTCAAGTGGTTGTCACCTGTTGTCACCTCGTGGGTCAGAGAACAGGAACACGAGTCAGCCAACCAGGATGGCGCGAGCCAGCTCTGAACTTTCTCTTGCAGCTTGTGACACGCTCTTGATGCTACGCTCTGAACTTCCTCTTGTAACTTGTAACCCCTCTTGATGCTAAACTCTGAACTTTCTCTTGCAGCTTGTCACACGCTCTTGATGCTACGCTCTGAACTTTCTGCGTGCCAAGCATCTTGCAACGTCATAACATCTTTGACAAAGAGTTTATGATGTTGCAAGAGGCTTGCCACGTTGCAAGATGTTTGAAGTTTCGCAACATTGTCGACAAATGACCGTGTGATTATTTCTGGGGAGGGGGGAAGGGTGGATGGGGTGGGGAGGAGGTGAGGTGGGGGAGGGGGTGGGAAACTTGTAACACGGTCTTGGTGCTTCGCTCTGAACTTTCTCTTGCAACTTGCGGCACGCTGTGGATGCTACGCTGAACTTTTTCAAGTAACCTTCAGGTCTCTCTTGACGCTATGCTCTGAACTTTGTCTCGTTACTTGTGAATAGAACGATTCAAAGATGTTATGACGTTGCAAGATTTGGCACGTTGCAAGATGTTTGAAACGTTTTACAATACTATCCGCGAATGGGCGCGTGAGTATATTTTTTTGGTGGAAACTTTTGTCTGCCACAGAAGCTTCGCGACTGCCGCAGCCGCCAAATTCGGACACAGCATCCCGCGGGCGGCGCAACCGCCGCCGTCCGACTCAGCCCCTCTGCGTCCAACACAGCAGCCCCGCGGCCGACACAGACATGCCAGTTTCGACACCCAGACCTAGTTTGCTAAGCTAGCTCTGGGTAGTCTTTGCTTGCTTTGTGCAGCCCTCGACGTGCCCATCCCGCCATCCGACACAGCATCCCCGCGGCCGACGCAACCGCCGCCGTCCAACTCAGCCCCTCTGCGTCGGACACTGGGTTCTCTTTGCTTGCTTTGTGGCAGCCTACGATGCGCCCATCCCGCCGTCTGACTCATAAGCCCCGTGGCGGACACAACCGTCGCCGTCCGACAAAGCCTTCCTGCGGCCGACACAGCATGCGCGGTTTCGACATTCGGGCCTTTGCTTGCTAAGTTAGCACCGGGATGCGTCCGATAGAGACATGTATCGCCAATGCCCGGAGCGACAATTTGCACCGGCCGCCACGGTAACTAGCGCTGGCCGACACGGCATTTCGCGCCAGCACCCAGCTGCGGCCGACACGCCACGCCACCGGCCGACTCACCGCGGCTCACACAGACCCTGTCCTCACCTCGTGTTGTTCGGTTGTTCCAAGAAATATCCAGCTTTTTGTTGGTTTGCAGTTTGCACATTTCGACAGATCCACATCTTGTGTCATGGTCTCAAATGCCAGGGGATAATCGATACTTTTCAAGTTTACATGGGCTACACATCGGTTGCGCTGATCATTGGGGGGTTATAGTGGTTGGGTCCCCTTTGGCTGATGTTTTAGTCAGGAATCTGACTCTGGGAGGCTGGTGACTGTGGAGCACTTCGTCCTGACTTCCAAAATGACTCCGCAGTTCTGGCTGGGAGCTCCCTATTTCAATGGCAACATGTTCGATCTAAACCGATGGAAATTGGAGATTTTCTGGCCCGTCAGGTTCGATTACCAGACGGTATTCATCAAGAGCAGCGGACATCAGTCCATGTGCTTGCTTGTGTACATGTCAAACCTAACAGATCTAACCAGCCCCTTGTTTGACTTGAGAAATCACACTATGAAGGCATGCCAGCAGGTTGTTTTGCAACCTTGCCAGCTGCAGTGACAGGTGCCACGAGTTTGCCAATCTTGCATCCTGCCCATATCGCCAACGGCAGTGCTGGCTTGGTTGGCAGCAGCTGCGCTTAGATTAAGGACAAGCTGTGACACTTTCAGGAGTGCCACGTCACATTGGGGCGTCTATTGCTATTGTCGCTATTATTCCCCGAACAGGGTACTGTTAGTGGTTCTTAATGCCTTCTTAAGGTCTCCCAGCTTGTCTCCCATTGTCTTCCTTCTTGTTTCTTGTTTCAGTTTGTTGGGTGGTGTGTCCGCCTTCCCGAGGCCTTGTCTCCCTTGTCTCCCAGCTTGTCTCCCAGTTTGTCTCCCAGCTTGTCTCCCAGCTTGTCTCCCAGCTTGTCTCCCAGCTTGTATCCGAGCTTGTCCCCCAGCTTGTCTGCCAGCTTGTCTTCCTTCTGTTTCTCTTTGTTGGATGGTGTGTCCGCCTTGGGCAACAAGCTTTGCGTGGGGTCACCGCTACCTAAGATGGATTGAAGGCAGCTTCCTGTTGCATTTGGTTTCTGACTTTTTCGGTCAGCCATTGCCTCTAGAGTTCTTTTTTCAGTGACAAGTGCTGTGTTCTTGCCAACTCCAATTCAAAGATGCAAGTTGCATTGAATCTTGGGTTGTTATTGATATTGGGTGAAACGAATCACGTAGTCTTGTACTGCTGTCTCCTTGCCAAGTCAAAAGTAAACAGCAGAGGGCAACATCCCTCATCACAACTGCTGGTATTTTCGATCGCCTGTGTCCTACAGAAGATGTCTTTGACCTCTGTCAGTTTCAGTCCACAACAACCTTCTGTGAACTTGAGGCACGAAGTCCTTCTGTATCCTTCCAGAAGAATTTTCGAATGACACCACCGGCTGCAAGGCGAGGGACAATGGGAAATTTCCGCACTGTACGGTACTTTACAATGTTGCAAGACATTTCGAAGTATAAGACTGTAGATCTGCTGAGTCTGATATTGTTTGAGTTCCCGGAAGTGAAAACCACCGACAACTCCGGAAAGTATTGAGCGAAATTTCAGACAGGGTCCTACACTATAGCCAAGTTTTTCAAGGACAATCAAGAGGAGATCGTCTCGAAGAGTTTGACGATGTTTGAGGAAGGGTTTGATTGATTACGCTTGAAAGTCAGGTTTTCAAGGTAGAAGAGCAGAGGTCTTGAAAAGGAGTCTTGAGGTATCAAAGTCACCCAAAGTAATTCAAAGTCATTCAATGTCATTCAATGTCATTCGAACTCATTCAAAGTCGTTCGAAGTCATTGAAAGTCATCGCATTCAGGTGCTCCTTCGCGCTGCAGAGCAGAAGCAGTGCTGTAGACGGAGAGGGCTTCAACCGAGTCATCAGGCCGCATTGGATAGCAACTGGCACTTTGATGCGTCAGAGCAGGTGATGCTTTGCGAGGATAGGGTAAGTTAGCTTTCAAGATAGTGCACTCGCTTCTCACCATCTCCAACTTGGGGTTGGGGGGTGGTAGGGCCTGGTAGGGTAGCCATAGGGCCCGTGTCCTGTCATGGATCATCACCATCGTCATCGTCGTCATTATGATTGTCACCACCAGCACCACCAGCACCACCAGCACCACCAGAACCACCAGAACCACCAGCACCACATTCATCACCATCACCGTCACCGTCACCGTCACCGTCACCCTCACCACCACCACCACCACCATCACCACCATCACCACCACCACCACCATCATCATCATCATCATCAACATCATCATCAACATCATCATCAACATCATCATCAACATCATCATCATCATCACCATCACCATCATCATCATCACCATCATCATCATCATCATCACCATCATCATCATCATCATCATCATTGTTATCATCATCGTCATCATCGTCCTGATTCTGATCATCATGACGATCATCACCATTCAAGGCTATCTTTTCTTTGTCCTCCTTTTTCTTTCCGCTCCTCTTCCGTCTCTTCCTCCTCTTCCTCCTCTTTTCTCCTGTTCTGCCCCTTCCCGTTCTCCTTCTTCTCCTTTTCCTTAAGTGTCCACCGAACATGGTCCATTTTTTAGTCTTGAAACGCTCTTTTTGAGAAAGGGTCCCCGCTTTGGCTGGATCTTTTTGACATCGAATAAGTCCCCAACAGCGTAAACTAATGGGTAGCTCCGGTGCGCACTGGTGCAGGCGCCGGGTCAGGTTCAACAGGGTTTCCCGAGAAGGTCTGGGAAGCTTTGGTGCAGAGCCAGGTCAGGTTCACAGGGTTCCGGAAACCTCTGGAGAAGGTCTGGGAGGGTGTTCCGAAGAAGGTCTGCATGGGAGGCTTTGCTGCAGAGCCAGGTCAAGTTCAACAGGGTTCCCGAGAAGGTTCCGGAGACGGTGTGGGAGGCCAACAGGGTTTCGGAGAAGGTTCGAGAAGGTTCCGGAGAAGGTCTGCATGGGGAGGCTTTGGCACAGAGCCAGGTCAGCTTCAACAGATCCGGAGAAGGTCTGGGAGGCTGTGGTGCAGAGTCAGGTCAGGTTCAAGAGGGTTCCGGGGAAGGTTCCGGAGAAGGGTCCAGGAAGCCTGGGTGCAAAGCCAAGTCAAGTTCAACCGGTTCCGGAGAAGGTTGCAGAAGCCAAGCCAGGTCAGGTTCATTTAACTCACGGAAACCTAGCTGAGGTGTTTCCAGCGCTTGGCTTCGCAGCACGCATCAGAAAGATTTGTAAAAATGAAATGTTGCGGCTGTTGGGGATACCACCGAAGCTTATTGTTTTTTGTTTTTTTCCCCTGGAGCCATGTTGGAACTTTTAGACGATATGAATCCAGAAGACAATTCAAGGTTTGGAGGTCTGGAAAATAAGAAACATGACAAAAATAAAAAGTAGATTCCGTGAACCTGAGGCACAAAATCTTTCTGAATTCTCCTGGAAGAAGTCTTCAATGACTCTACACGCTTCAAGGCGGGAGACAATCGGAAACTAACTTCAATGTAGAAGACAGGTGGAAAAACGAACCACCTCGTAAGTCTGATATTGTCTGGGTTGCCAGAAGTGAAAATCACGGACAACCAAGTGACAGCACCAAGAAAGCAGCATGCAGCAAATTTCATTTAAAGACGACCAAGAGCAGAGATATCGTCTTCAAGAGTTTGAGGATGTGTGAAAAAGGGTTTCTGATTGCATTCGAAAGTCAGGAGGGTCTTCAAGGTAGAAGAGCAGAGGTTTTGAAAAGGAGTCTTGAGATATCAAAGTCATTCAATGTCATTCAAAGGCATTCAAAGTCGTTCGAAGTCATTCAAAGTCATCGCATTCAGGTGCTCCTTCGCGCTGCAGAGCAGAAACAGTGCTGTAGACGAAGGGGGCTTCAACCGAGTCATCTGGCCGCATTGGATAGCAAATGGCACTTTGACGCGTCAGAGCAGGTGATGCTCTGCAAAGACGGGTTAATTCATCTTTTAAGCTGTCTTTGAAAACCATGAGCTTTTCTTTACCTGGAGCAGAGGCGTAGCACGTTCGATTTGAAGATCCTGTGTTCCAAACGGTTTTTTTCCAGAAGGCTATGAAATCCAGCGCAGTCTGGAAACGGCGAAGGAAACTGTCAGACAACTTGGATCAGGCGATGCAGGCCGTGGTCAATACCACCAGAGCAGTTTCAGGTGCCGTCCGCCTTGCAGTGGGGAGGATGAGGGAATGCGACCGTTGACGATGCGATCTTACCTGAATAGTCAAACCAAACTTGATCATGTCCACCTCCGCGGGTTCCACTTTGATAGCAGATAATCATGTTGTGACAGCAGCCTGCCGATTAACCAACCAGAGTTTTTCAATCAGGCTCTGGCATCACTTGGGAAAGAACGTGACCCTCAAACATCGAGCTGTGTCCATGATTCGAGTGACATTCCAGATCATGCCAGCTTCGTCAGTGATTGATTGGTTCTTCCAAGAAGGAGTGCTTGGTTCCATGGCGTCCAGTACATCCCTCGGAACTTGACGTTCAATTACGAAAGCCAGCCAGCCGCTAGGCTAGGCGAAGTTTTTTTGCGAAGAAAGTGAGTCAAGTGGGTCTTGGAGCAGAGCGGGCAAAACTGGCCCGAAATCACGGTCTCAGTTTCAGTGGAGCCCGAGTTTTTTGAGCATTTTGGAGGGGTATGTACCAGATGGCAATGGGCTGACGGTGGGGTATCGATTCCCCCTGGTCCGTCCCTGGAGGTGCATTTTGGGAGGCTATAGAGAATTACTGTAGCCCAGACGTAAAGGCATTACTTGCAAAGGTCCTTTGAGGACAGAGGCAAAGGCATTGCTTGGAAAGGTGGGAAGTCAATGGCTACTTTTCTTTATGTCTCTCTCTCTCTCTCTCTCACCCTTCTACCCCTATTTGTTGTGCTCCGATATGGGAGCGTCGCAAGGCTTAGAAGGAACTTCTGTCAACATAGGATGTGTAATTAGGAAGCTTTGGAAGGGAGGACGAAAATATGCAGTGGGGTCCGAAGTGGGGCCACTATTCTCTTGGACCGTTCCCCGCAGGAGATTTGAGGGAACTCGTGTCAGTATGCGATGTGAAAGTAGGAAGCTTTGGAAAGGGGCCAGAGGTAAAGGCATTGCTTGGAAAGGTGGGAAGACAATGGCTATTTTTCTTTATGTCTCTCTTTTACTTGTCCAGCCGTATTTGTTGGGCTCCGACGTGGGAGCATTATGGTCGCAAGGTATAGAAGGAAGTTCTGTCAGTATAGGACGTGAAATGAGGAATGGGGAAGCTTTGGAAGGGGTGCCGAAAATATGCAGTAGGGTCTCCTTGTCCGTCCGATATAGAGACTGGAATAGAATGGAATAGCTTCAGTGCATCTCCTCCTACACCTTTCAGCTTCGCCCGCCGCAGCGGAAAAGAAGATTTTGTTCGTGTTCCCCTTGCACCACCTCTTCCATATCTACTCTATCTTCCTCTATCCTCCCTCCTCCTCTTATACTATACTTCTTCGCACTCCCCTGGCTTTCGTTCCTCCCTTCTCAGGTTCGAATCATTTTTTAGGGGGATTGGGGTCCTCGTGCGACAGGGCAACTGACCAGTGGCTCCACACCGGGACTTGACAGCAATGCGACCATGAAGGCTGGTGTTGTCAAGTGGTTGTCACCTGTTGTCACCTCGTGTTGTTTGGTTGTTCCAAGAAATATCCAGCTTTTTGTTGGTTTGCACATTTCGACAGATCCGCATCTTGTGTCATGGTCTCAAATGCCAGGGGATAACCGATATTTTTCAATTTTACATGGGCTACACATCGGTTGCACTGATCATTAGGGGGTAAATAGTGGTTGGGTCCCCCTTGGCTGATGTTTTAGTCAGGCATCTGACTCTGAGAGGCTGGTGACTGTGGAGCACTTCTTCCTGACCTAGGGCTTTGCGTTTTCAGGGAACGGCTCGAATGCAGACATTTTTTGGAGGCCCGCCGGCGTTTAGTGTCCGCACCCTTGGATAGAACAACAGTTTTTATCCTGGTTGTGAAATCAACCATAAATGACTCAGCAGTTTTGGCTGGATCCCTATTTCAACGGCAACATGTTCGACGTAAATCGATGGAAATTGGAGATTTTCTGGCCCGTCAGGTTCGATTGCCAGACGGTATTCATCAAGAGCAGCGGACATCAGTCCATGTGCTTGCTTGTGTACATGTCAAACCTAACAGATCTAACCAACCCCTTGTTTGATTTGAGAAGTCACACTATGAATGAAGGCTTGCCAGCAGGTTGTTTGGCAACCTTGCCAGCTGCAGTGACAGGTGCCACGAGTTTGCCAATCTTGCATCCTGCTCATATCGCCAAAGGCAGTGCTGGCTTGGTTGGCAGCAGCTGCGCTTAGATTAAGGCTTAAATGTGACACTTTCAGGAGTGCCACGTCTACGTTTTTGTTGGGCAACTAAAGTCTGGTTTTTGTCGCGGTTAGAGCCGCGTCCCTTTATACCACGTCACATTGGGTTGTTTGATCTCTGCAAGGCATCTACCAAAAGTTTTTTATCCCCGCTTATCCCCTACATCTCTGTTGAGCTTGGCTGGCTGGGAGTTCCCTATCTTCAATCGGAAAATCTTTGAACCAGATGGAGAGAACCAGATGATATTCAGAGCAGTGCACACGAGTCCATGTGCCTGTTTGCGTACACGTCAGCTCTAACAAGTCTCTTTTGTTTGAAAGGACCTTTTACAATCCAGCTGGAAGTTTTTCACTTGCGCGAGGCAAACATCCCTTCTCCATGTCGAAGCGATTTAAGCGTTTTGATGAGAGCATTGATGAGGGGGGGGAAAGCCCACAGGTGCGCTGCATGTGAAAAAATGCAACAATCTTGTCATAACAGTCATGACATGAAGAAGAAAAGTGTCAAACAGCATGTCGATTTGCACACATGTGTATGTTGCATTTTTGGACGCCAAAGTGTTTGGCAGATTTTTTCTCAAACAGTGTGTCCACACTAAGTCACTAGGGGTCGATAAAGGTTAGAGGCCGGGGAACGTCTACTTTTCCCGGCGCTTCGTGTCCGTTTTGTGTGGGAGAAATACGGCGCTGTTGGAGGGAGATTTTGTGGAGCAAGTCCAAGATTTCGGATGCGTTCTAATCCGCGCGGCAGGGGCCATATTTCCTGCCCGTTGCTGAAAAGTTGACAGGTTGGTTGACATGAGAGGTGATGCCGGAAGTTGGCAGGGGCTGTGTTTGGGGAATTTGGGCCATGTTTGAGAGGCTGAAAGCGGTCGTTTTGTGCGCCTGTCCTCACTTTTGGATTCGGTACCTGGCCACCCCATTTCACGTGGCAGGTGTAGCCCTTTGGATGCACCAGGCTGATGAAAACCTATTGGTACACTGTTTTTTCGCAGTTTAAGCTTTCGTGTTTTGTGGCGCGCGCAGTGCTTGGTGAAATTCTAACAAGTGCTCGCGCAAACCTATCTGCACTTTGTGTGGTGCTGTGTTCATTTTACTTCACCGACAGATATTATATCCTGCAAGATCCTGTGAGTCCCTTGGCCTTGTACAGAGCTCCCGTGTTCCTTCGGATACGAAAATCGTGTGATCTCTGCGACCGGATTTATTCCCTGAGAGGATCCCCTTGTGAGTTCATCCGGGCCAGAGATCCTGGGAGTTCGTGGCCCCTTCGAATCAGAACGAGGCAAAGAACATTCATCACAACAAAACGCCGACGAAAAACGCCAAGAGGTTTAGAATGTGCAGAGAGCCTAATTTTTCCAAATCCCCGAAACTTTGTCCATGATTAAAAAAGGCAGTTGTGATGCGATTGTGAGACCTACTTCCTGAGTCTAGTCTTGAATTGTTTGGGTTTACAGAAGTGAACATCGTCAATAACTAGGTGACAGCAACAAGCTAGGAGCATGCAAAGGTACTTCAACAATTTTCAGACATGGTCAAAGACAACCAAGAGGAGAGAGATTGTCTTGAAGAGTTTGGAGATGTTTGAGGAACGGTCTCTGCAGTCGAAAGTAGGCGGTTCTTCAAGGAACAAAGGTCTTGCAAAGGTAGTCAGTTAATAGATGGTTTATTCCATTGTAATCCCATTATTTTCAATGTTTTATAGTTCCCAATAGTTACCAACTGGTGCAGGATTTCTTCCATCCACAGTATCAACGTCATTCAAAGTCATAACGTTCAGGTACTCCTTCGAGTTGCAGAACAGAAGCCGTGTAGAGAGGGCGGACTTCAACCGAGTGGCCTGGCTGCATTGGATAAATGGAACTTTGACGTGTCAGAGTAGGTGACGCTCTGCAAAGACAGCTTAATTCATCTTTTTAGCTGTCTTTCAAAACCATGCGCTTTTCTTCACCTGGAGAAGAGGCGTAGCCCGTTTGATTTGACACAGGGAAGATCTTGTGTTGTTTTCTTTTTCAAAAGGCTATGAAATCCAGCGCAGTCTGGAAACGGCGAAGGAAACTGTTAGACAACTTGGATCAGGCGATGCAGGCCGTGGTCAATACCACCAGAGCAGTTTCAGGTGCCGTCCGCCTTGCAGTGGGGAGGACGAGGAAATGCAACCGTTGACGATGCCAAACTCGATCATGTCCACCTTTGAGGGTACCACTTTAAGAGCAAATACTGTAATCATGTTGTGAGTGCGGCCGGCCTATTATATAGCCAACCAAAGTTTTTAAATCAGACCCTGGCATCACTTGGGAAAGAACGTTAATGAATGAGATGGATCGAGCCTGGTCCATGATTCCAGTGACATTTCAGCTTGGCCTGTGATTGATTGGCTTATCTGAGAAGATTCGCTTGGTTCCATGGCGTCCAGTACACGGGGGATTGGGGTCTGAAAATCAGCTGAAACTTGCCGCCGGCAAAAAGTTCTCGCGCGACAGGGGGGCTGACCGGTGTCTCCACACCGGGACTTGACAGCAATGTAACCATGAAGGCTGGTGTTGTCAACTGCTTGTCATTTGGTTATTTCAAGAAAGTTCCCGCTTTTTCTTGGTTTGCAGATCCACATCTTGTGTCATGGTCTCAAATGCCAGGGGATAACCGATATTTTTCAATTTTACATGGGCTTCACATCGGTTGCGCTGATCATTGGGGGGTAAATAGTGGTTGGGTCCCCCTTGGCTGATGTTTTAGTCAGGCATCTGACTCTGAGAGGCTGGTGACTGTGGAGCACTTCTTCCCGACCTAGGGCTTTGCGTTTTCAGGGAACGGCTCGAATGCAGACATTTTTTGGAGGCCCGCCGGCGTTTAGTGTCCGCACCCTTGGATAGAACAACAGTTTTTATCCTGGTTGTGAAATCAACCATAAATGACTCAGCAGTTTTGGCTGGATCCCTATTTCAACGGCAACATGTTCGATCTAAATCGATGGAAATTGGAGATTTTCTGGCCCGTCAGGTTCGATTACCAGACGGTATTCATCAAGAGCAGCGGACATCAGTCCATGTGCTTGCTTGTGTACATGTCAAACCTAACAGATCTAACCAACCCCTTGTTTGATTTGAGAAGTCACACTATGAAGGCTTGCCAGCAGGTTGTTTGGCAACCTTGCCAGCTGCAGTGACAGGTGCCACGAGTTTGTCAATCTCGCATCCTGCCCATATCGCCAAAGGCAGTGCTGGCTTGGTTGGCAGCAGCTGCGCTTAGTTAAGGACAAGCTGTGACACTTTCAGGAGTGCCACGTCACATTGGGGTGTTTGATCTCTTCAAGGCATCTACCAGAAGTTGTTCTATCCCTACATCACTGTGTGGAATTCTTGCCGTCCAAATCCCGCCTTTTTTTCTATGTCTGCATTAGACTTCTCTTCTACTTCTAATTTCCAAGTCGCAACTTATACTGTACATCTTTATCCAAGGCTACGGCTACGGATTCTTCCCGTTTTTTTTTTCAGATCGGCAGCAAGCAAGCAAGCAAACAAGCAAGCCAGCTAGCCAGCCGGCAAGCAAGCAAGCCTGCCAGAAAGCAAGCCAGGGAGGGAGGGAGGACAGCCAGCCAGCCAGGCAGCCAGCCAAGCAAGCAAGCCAGCCTCTCCCAATCCGAAATAAACACCCTAAACCTACCCTAAAATAGCATCCTTAAATACACAATTTGAACCAACCCTAAATAAACAATTGCCCCAAACCAACCATAAATAAACCCTAACCCGAGAGCAACTTTGAACGGCCACTTAATTCTCTAAATCAGCTTGAAATTAACCATAAACCAACCGGGAAAAAAACATTAAACCTAACCTAAACCAACCCTAAATAAACACCCAGCACCAACAAATAGTAGACACTATTAAAAAACCCTATATGAACACTCCAAAACTTCCAACTTGGCATAAATAAAATCTAACCCAACTTGGAAAAACCCTAAACGTACCCGAAAAAACCACAAACCAAGCTAAACTACAAACCCTACCAAGCCTAAATAATCTTTGAACCAACCCCACAAACCATCAACCAACCAGAAAAATCATAAACCAACCGAAATCAACCCTCAATCAGCCCTAAACAATCCCTAAACTAATCAAATAAACTAACCCTAAATAGTTTTAAACCAACACTAAATAAGCACCCTAAACCAACCCTAAACAAACCCTAAACCTGAATGAACATCCTAAACTAACCCTAAACAAACCTGAAACCAACCCTTAGAAGGCATCTTAAATCGTTAAATCAATCATACTACGCCAGAAACCGACCGTAAAGAACACGTTTAACGAAGCCGAAATCAATCCACACGAACCCCTGCATAAACACCTTAAGCCCCCAAAGAAACATTAAAGAGACTCTAAAGAACACCTGAAATCTTAAAGAAACAGGTTTCAATAAATTCTAAGCACAAATTAATTGTGAATATAATGCAGGCCAAGTGAGACCCCAGAATCACTATAATGCATGGCGGTACATAGCTTCTGTTTGCCAGCAGCGGTCGCCAACTGAGACCATTGACAGCTGCTATGGCTCGCGGAAAATTACATCAGGATCACGGAGTACTGCAAGATTTGTACCCTTTCTCATTAAAATAAACCCTAAACGTATCCGAAAGAAATAGCCCAAACCAAACTCAAATAAACATTGAGCCTGCTGTGCGGGTATGACATTTACACCCGCAGACGAAGACGAATTCCGAAGACGAATTGCAAAGACGAATTCCCCGAAGACGAATTGCCCCCCGAAGATGAATTCCACCCGAAGACGGATTCCGAAGACGAATTCCACGAAGACGAATTGCCCCCCGAAGACGAATTCCCCCCCGAAGACGAATTGCGAAGACGAATTCCCCGAAGACGAATTGCCCCCCGAAGACGAATTCCCCCCCCGAAGACGAATTCCGAAGACGAATTCCCCGAAGACGAATTCCCCGAAGACGAATTCCCCCCCGAAGACGAATTGCGAAGACGAATTCCCCGAAGACGAATTGCCCCCCGAAGACGAATCTCCCCCGAAGACGAATTCCGAAGACGAACTCCCCGAAGACGAATTGCCCCCGAAGACGAATTTCCCCCTGAAGACGAATTCCCCGAAGACGAAGTGCGCTCCGAAGACGAATTCCCTCCCGAAAGAAGAGGTTTAATTTACATTAACAGGATGGAAGCGTTGAAACGATGGGGAGGAATTAATGGACGGAAGAGAAGAGTTGAAGCGAAAGGCACGCCATAGGAAACGGAAGGGAAGAGTTAAAAGGGAAGGGAAGGAGTAACGAAAGGGATGAAAAAGAGTTGAAACGAAAGGAAGGAAGTAACGAATGGAAGGGAGAGTTGCAACGAAAGGACGGACGCAATGAAATGGACGAGTTGAAAGGAAAGGAAGCGCAAGACGAACAGGAGAGAAGAGTTGAAGCGAAAGAAAGATAAGAAAGGAGGTAACGAAATGAACGGCTTGAAACGAAAGGAAGAGGTAAACGAACTGGATGAACACATTGAAACAAAAGGAAGGGAAGTAACAAAATGAACGCCGTGAAACGAAAGGAATGGTAAATGACAATGAACAGGATGGAAGCATTGAAACGATGGGAAGAAAGTAACGAAGGGAAGAGGAGAGTTTAAAACGAAAGGAACGAGGTATAGGGAAGAGGAGCGAAGAGTTGAAACGAAACGGAAAGAAGTAACGAATCGAAGCGTAGAGTTGCAACGAAAGGACGGACGCGATGAAATGGACGCGTGAGAGGAAAGGAGGAGGTAAACGAAGCGGATGTAAGACTAGAATAGAAACTATAAAGGAAAGAAGTATAGCGAAATGAACGGCTCGAAACGAAAGGAAGAGGTAAACGAACCGGATGTAAGAGTTGAAAAACGAAGGAGGTAACGAAATGAACGACTTGGAAAAAAGGAAGAGGTAAACAAACCGCATGTCAGACTTAAAAAAAGGAAGGAATCAGCGACATGAACGCATTGACATGAAAGGAAGAGGTAAATGAACAGGATGAAAGCGTTGAAACGATGGGGAGGAAGTAACGAACGGAAGGGAAGAATTAAAACGATTTAAAACGGAAGGAACCACGTATAGGGAACAGAAGGGAAGAGTTGAAACGAAAGAAGTAGCGAACGGGATTACAAAGAGTTGAAGCGAAAGGAAGGAAGCAACGAATGGAAGGGAAGAGTTGCAAAAAAAAGACGGACGCAATGAAATGGACGAGTTGACAGGAAAGGAAGAGCAAGAAGAACAGGACAGAAGATTTGAGCGAAAAGACGAACCCAACGAAATGAACGCCTTTAACTTTAAATGAGAGGAAGAGGTGAATGAATAAGATGAAACAATGGGGAGGAAGTAACGAACGGAGCAGAAGTTGAAACGAAAGGAGCGACGTAGGGAACAGAAGGGAAGACAAAACGAAAGGGAAGAGTAACCAACGAAATGCTCTGGATGCTATAGCCTCCGGGCTTGCTATAGCCTCCGGGCTTGCTATAGCCTCCGGGCTTGATGCTACGTTCTTGGCCTTCAGCTGAGGCATTTCAGTACGCCCTTGACGCTACGCTCTGGAGACAGTCGCCTCTTGAATGCTATGCTAATTTTCTCTTGGAAGTTCGAACCATCTCTTGGTGCTAGGCTCTTGGCTTAATTACTCTTGGGTTTCCCGACACGATTTTTCTGCTACGCTCTTAGCTTTCTCCTGGGCCAGTCCGGCAAGCTCTTGATGCTACGCTCTTAGCTGTATATTGGAACTTCCAACACGCCCTTGGTGATTTTAACTCTCTTAACTATCTCACGGGCTGTCCAACACTTTCTCTTTGCCTTGTCCTGGGACGTGCCAGCACGCTCTTGACACTACGCTCTTGGCTTCTCTTGAAGCATGGCGCGCTATTTTTGTTTTTTTTGTGACACATTGAATTCCAACACGCTCTTAGATGCTACGTTCTTGGCTCCGGCTCACACTCTCTTGATGCTACGCGCTGGACCTTGTCTTGGAACAGTCCAAGATGCTGTTGACGCTACCGTCCACCACAATCTTCTCTTATAACTTTTTCTTGGAACTTCCAACGCGCTCTTGTTGGTGCTACGCTCCGCCTCTTGACGCTGCGGTCTGGAGAAAGTCACGCTCTTCGTGCTACGCTCTTAGCTTTGTTCTGGAACACGCCAGCACGCTCTAGTTGCTACGCTCTTTTGTTCTTCCTCAAGCATTCCAGCATGCGCTTGATGCTACGCTCTGACCTCCAACACGTTCTGGATGCTAGACTCTTAGGTTTTTCTTGGTCCTTCAACACGCTGTCTTAGTATTACTCGCCTAGGTTTCTCTTGGAACTTCCAACGGGCTCTTGATGTTACGCACTAAACTCCCGCATGTCCTCAATGCAACACGCTCAATACTTTTTCATTGAACTTCCTGAGCTTTCTCCTGGAACACTCGGGCGCTCTCTTCGTTTGGGTTTGGTAAGAAGCTAAGAAGGTTCTACTACTTCAACTTAATGATTGATCCTTGCCTCAAGGATTTTCAACTGAGATTGCAAAACGTACTTCAACTTAATGATTGATCCTTGCCTCAAGGATTTTCAACTGAGATTGCAAAAACGTACTTCAACTTAATGATTGATCCTTGCCTCAAGGATTTTCAACTGAGATTGCAAAAACGCGCCACACAATCTTGATAATTACCTCTACGCTTTATATTTCTACATAACCCAGCCTTGGTGATCAGACCAAATCCCTGGCTGCCCTCCGGCTCCTCTTCCCCTCTACATTCCTCTATTTATCTTCCCACATACTAAGACTACAGTACGCCTGCGCCCTTGCTCGTCATGCCTAGCCTGTCAACAGGCATGTGTCTTCAGGCAATACACAATGCGTCGTCGCGTAAATGATGCGTTGTCAGGGGGCAACGCGTCGTCAGGGAATGTGTCGTCACAATGCGTCGTCAGGGGGAAATGCGTCGTCAGTCGTCAGGGCATGTGTCGTCAGAATGCGTCGTCAGGGGGTAATGCGTCGTCAGGGAATGTGTCGTCACAATGCGTCGTCAGGGGGTAATGCGTCGTCAGGGGGCAATGCGTCGTCAGGGAATGCGTCGTCAGGGAATGCGTCGTCACAATGCGTCGTCAGCGGGTAATGCATCGTCACGGGGCAATGCGTCGTCAGGGAATGCGTCGTCACAATGCGTCGTCAGGGGGTAATGGGTCGTCAGGGGGTAATGCGTCGTCAGGGGGTAATGCGTCTTCAGGGAATGTGTCGTCACAACGCGTCGTCAGGGGGCAATGCGTCGTCAGGGAATGTGTCGTCACAATGCGTCGTCAGGGGGTAATGCGTCGTCAGGGGGCAATGCGTCGTCAGGGAATGTGTCGTCACAACGCGTCGTCAGGGGGCAATGCGTCGTCAGGGGATGTGTCGTCACAATGCGTCGTCAGGGGTTAATGCGTCGTCAGGGGGCAATGCGTCGTCAGGGAATGTGTCGTCACAATGCGTCGTCAGGGGGGCCGGGGACATCGCCAATGTGTCGTCACAATGCGTCGTCAGCGTCAGCGCCAAATGTCATACCCAAGCTGCGGGTGCCCTGCAAATAAGTAGTGCCAAGCCTAAATAAGTCTTAAACCAACGTTGAATAATCCATAAACAACTCCTACATAATTTTAAAGCAAACCCTAAATAAACATAAACACCTTGATCCAACCCGAAATTAACCTAAACCAACTTCCTTGAATAAACATTCTGAACCAACACTAAATAGACACCCCAACAAAAAACAAACCCAAGAAACGCCTTAAACCTGAAAGCCAACATTGAATAAATTTCAGACTACCCCTAGACATAGACAAATTATAAGCCCACACCTAATAAACCCCCAAGCTAACGCCAATAAACTTAAAACCTATCTGAAGCAGCTTTAAACAAACCCTACCTCCACCCTACACCAACTCGAAACCAACCCTGAACAAACCCTGAACCACCACAAAAACAATCAACCAACCCGAAAGAAACACCTTAAACCAAACCAAAACAAACACCACATAAACGAACACCATATAAACTCCTCTAAATCAAAACCTAAACAAACCCTAAACCAATCCCAAATAGCCCTAAACCAACCCTGAATGAACTCCCTAAACCAACCCTGAACAACTTTAAACCGACTCTTAATAAACGTTGATAAACACCCGAAACCACTTCCATATCTATGTCCATCTCTGTTCATATGCATTTCCATGTCTATCTCCATGTCTATCTCCCTATCTATCTCCCCATCTATCTCCATATCTATCTCCAAATCGAGCCGCAGATCCATGTCCACATCTATCTCCATATCTATCTCCATATCTATCTCCATATCTACCTGCATCTATCTGCATCTATCTGCTTCTATCCATCTATTTGCGTCCATCGGTCAATCCATCTACCTCCATATCTATCTATATATATCTATATATCTGTTTGTCTGTCTATCCATCTGTCTATCTATCTATCGATCTATCTGTCTGTCTATCTATCGATCTATCGATCTATGTATCTCTCTCTCTCTATCTATCTGTCTATCTGTCTATCTGTCTATCTGTCTATCTGTCTATCTGTCTATCTATCTATCTATCCGTCTGTCTGTCTATCTATCTATCTATCTATCTGTGTATCTGTGTATCTGTGTATCTGTGTATCTGTGTATCTGTGTATCTGTGTATCTGTGTATCTGTGTATCTGTGTATCTGTGTATCTGTGTATCTGTGTATCTGTGTATCTGTGTATCTATGTATCTATCTATCTAATCTAATCTAATCTAATCTAATCTATCTATCTATCTATCTATCTGTGTATCATATTTGAGTTTATGTGTCTTCACATCTTTCTATCTGGATCTTGTGTTCTTCATCCGCTTGCTTCGTCCTAGCTCAGCACAGCGGCTGCGCTTAGATCAAGGCTTAAATGCGACACTTTCAGGAGTGCCGCGTCACATTGGGGCGTTTGATCTCTGCAAGGCATCTACTCCCAGAAGTTTTTTATCCTCGCCATCATTGTGTGGGGTTCTTGTTTTTTGTGCAGCAGTACCGCCTTCTCCTCCCTACCCCAACGCCTTGTATATATGATTATATATGTGTATGTACCTTTTCCGTGGTTTCCGTTTACATGTGAGATTTCCCAAGGGAAAAACCCATGGGTTGCCCGGTTTCGTTGGCAGGCTGATGCCAGACTGCCCAGACCACTGGCTTGGTTAAAGACAATCCAGGTTGGGGCGGAATATGTCGAAAACGCAAAAAAAACGCATTGAGTAGGGATACAACTCATGATGATCAGGTTGGTGGTTTCAGATCATGATATGATTCTCGGCCGTAGCTATCCGGGATGATGGTAGAGGTGAATTCTCTGAATGATGGTGATGCTCAAGAAGTCCTTAGATTTTCATAGTGGTTGCTGTTGTCTTTTAAGTCCTTTAACAGGGTGCACTATCAGTGACCTTTGGTGACCCGTGAGCTGAGCCATGTGCAACAGGCCAAAATGACGGACTTATCGCGAAACAATATACGTGAAACGGTTTTCATGTTTATTCTGACATGTAACATGCCTGAGGCGAAAACATTTGTTTTGTTCTTACTTGTGATATGCAGCAGGCCAGAATAGCACATGCAACAATGACGTTGGCAAGAACCAACCCACAAAGCGGAATCACAATTTGTGGATGGAATGCAACCCGCATAAGGTGCAAAAAACGGCAAGGGATCACTCTCTGCAAATTGTTCACAGCTTCTTTGACTGCTGTATGCATTAATGATAAGTGGCGGGGGTTCAAGTGTTTGATTGCAATAAGCAGCGAAGTCCTCTTTTTTTCATGGTAAATAGACATTATACCAATATCCCATTCTGGCCTGTTGAGAAAGCAAAGAAAAATTCTTAAGAAACTCATCCCTGGAATGCAGCGCTCGAGTTTTGCGAGTTTCGCTCTGGGTTCGGATTTCCCTCGCTTAGAGAAGCGCCAAATATGTGGTTCCTAGGTTCCTAGGCAAAAGCAAGTTTAGCTTATCAATTGCAGCTGCCCAAATGTCTTCAGACCCTCACGCATGAAGAGCCTCTTGCCAAAAAACATGCTGGAAAACACAAATTCCGGTCAAAGTTTGCATCGATTTTTCTTCTCCACGTTCGGCAAACCTGAGTGACGACTCTGAGCTAATTACGTTGACTTGCCCTTTTAGAGGTTCTTTGAATACGCATTGGCTGTCCTCAAAGCACCCACACTTCACTCTTTACGTGAAAACATCGTAGTGGAGGTGCTGCAATATGTAACGTGATGAAGCGCATAGGGTTGTCGAACACGCGCAGAGACGCAGAACGAAAAAAAAACGACTACTTTGAGTGATCACCACCCTGACAATTATTCTGCCATAGTTTTGGACATGTCGCTGTATCATCTGGAATTGTTTATAGCATATATATATATATATACACATATATATATATATGTATCCATATATATATATATATATTCCCGTCCGAATTTCCTCTAGGAAATGGGGGAGCCCGAGCGCAAAATCAGGGATCATTTTCTACGTTTTTTTTCTTTTAAGTTGCATGTTCCAGAGATCAGATTTTGAGATGTTGTTTGGTCGATTTTTTGGTTCGAGTTTGTTTTCTCTTTTCGTTCATTTTCTAGAGTATACATCTGACAAAAATGCTACGACCTTCTTCAAGTGACAATTTTCACCACCTCCTTTTTGTAGAAGCATATTCATCATGTTGAATCAGATCCCATTTTCTAGTCCTTAGTCATTTTTTTTAGGATAAAAACTGTGAAAATTCTTATTTTCTAGAAAAATGACAGCAATCCTATTTTCTAAGAAAATGGCCAACAATCTTATTGAATTCAAACCATCTCATTTTCTAGATTTTTGTTTGCAACATCATTTTCTAGACATAAGATCTCATGTCCTAGGCATCAGAGATCTATACGTACATATATATATATACATATCTAGACATATATCTCATGTCCTAGACATTCTCATGTCTATACGTAAGATTGCCTTTTCGCGCCCGCCCGCTACAAATCTTCTCTGTTTCCATTTGAAAGCGAAGGTCGGCCCGCAACGGCCAACAAATACATCTTTACCTGTAAATTTAAAGTGAAAATGCTCGTGTTGCACGTCGTGTTGCACATCGTGTTGCACGTGTGTTGCGCGTGTGTTGCACGCGCGTTGCATGGAAATTCACAAGGAAATCAATGTTGGCCGGCAGCGGCCTTGATCACTGTATAGGCTTCTGGCAAGCACAGCCCGGCTTAGCCCACAGGCAATGTGTGGCGGCGCTGCTTCCTGAATCTCGGGCGGCAATTTTGATGAGGGCGCATCTGCGCGCAGAAGTTGTCAGAACTACAACATGCCACTTGCCCGAGCTCACACGTGGACATCCCATTGCGTTGTGGGCGGCACTTTGATGAGGTCACATCTGCATGCAAAAGTTGTCGGAAGTACAACATGAAATTTGCCCGAGTTAACAGGTGGACATCTACAAGTCTAAAAAGCACTCCCGGATCTTCAAAAAAAACAGCCAACCAACTTGAAGTCTGGCGAGGAGAGTTAGACACCCCTGGTCCCCCAATTTCAATGTTGTGTGACAGGAGTGCTTGGCGGAGCCTTCAAAAAAACAGCCAGTCATGCTCCGGCCATTGAGAAGCGATGGTTAGCAACATTGAGACAGGGGGTCCGGGGGCTTCCGGTGGATGTTGAAACTTTTTGGTCGATGGCTGTTTTTGTGAAGAGCCCGGTATGTTGACCTGTTCGTCCTGTTTTTTCACCAGGGTTGCCTTCGTATTTCCTAGTTTTTTTGTCTTTTTGCTGGGTTTTTGATAATTTTCAAGCGTGCCTGCTGCCTTACGATGATTTTGTCAGGCAAAGCAATTTGACTGCATATAAGCCCGCTATTTCCACAATTAGTATATCATCAATGTTTGATGTGCATTTTCGATGTAAATACCAGCACGCCCCTAAAGATAGAAAAGGCACAAAAAAAGGTACAAAGCACATGTTCAACCTGTTCTTCCTTTCACCATGGTTTTTCTTCATATCTTATAGAAATATACTTCTGCAACAAACCCCATGCATGTTCTAGATATGCTATCTGTCTCTCATATTTAAAGCATATTTTTAAATTTCTGAAACTAATCCCAGCATTTTCTAGACATGCTTTCTCTCTCCTCTTTTTTAAAGGCATTTTCTAGAGATAACATTTTGAACATAATCCCACACATTTTCTAGACATGCTTCCTGTCTCCTAATTTTCATGGCATTTGCTAGACAAAAATTGACAAAAATGTTCGAGTTTTTTCTTGAAATATGTCATTTTCTTTTTTTGATCAAAAAAACAAAAATCGAGAATTTTTGCTTTGTAGAAAATGCGTGCGATAGTGGCTCCGAGTACCCCCCCCAAACCCTCCAAAAAGTGGTTCAGGCATTTTCTAGAAAATTTTAAGGCATTTTCTAGAGTTTTTTTAGCCTGACCGTGGTTTTCTACAGAAAATGAGCCGGCATAGGCTCCCCTTCTAATTCGGACGGGGGTGTATATATATATATGTATATACATATATATATATTTATAGATATTTAAATATAAATATATATATATAATATTCTATATACGTATAAATATGTATAAATACATACATATATATGTGTGGGTGTGTAAATATATACTCTATATATTCTGACACCCTACCTGAAAGAACAGCGTATACTCTGACATTCTTTTCTGGCTTCTGGTGTTCTATCTGGCATTTACTCTGACATTCTGTTTGGCATCTATTCTGACATTCAATGTGGAATCTATTCTGGCAGCTTTTCTGGCATTCTATCTGTCATTTACTCTGACATTCTATTTGGCATCTATTTTGACATTCTATGCTGGCACTCTTTCTGGTTGGTGTTCTGACATTCTTTGTGGTATATGTTCGGGTCCGTGCGTGCCCAGCCTGATCTGGAGCTTGCGATAGGCTGCGGGTCCGTGCATGGGGCTCGCCATGGGCTTCTGGAAGGAGATTGCTCCACTTGAGCTGGTGCTTGCTGAAGGAAGAAGCAAGGAGGAGTGGATGGAGGAGTTGCACCTTAGTCAAAATCTACAGAGACCCTCACCTGGCAGGCGGGGACCAACAACATGTGTTTCCGGCTCTGGCAAGCCGCAAATTCCTTCGAGACGGAACCCCTTTCTTGGACCATAACCCATGCATACAAACATGTATTTGTCTGGCGTGAAACAAATGTTTGCAAAACTTAGTTCCCGAGAGCGTCTGAGTGAAGAGTTGTTCTAAAAGTGGACGCCTGCTTTACATCTTTACATGTTCACATCTTCACATCCTCACATGTTCACATACTCACATCTTTTCATCTTCACATCCTCACATCTTCACAGACTCACACCTTCACAGACTCACACCTTCACATACTTACATCTTCACATCTTCACATACTTACATCTTCACATCTTCACATCCTCACAAATGCACATCTTCACACATCTTCACGCATCTTCACACATCTCTCTCTCTCTCTCTCCCTCACACATCTTCTCTCTCTCTCTCTCTGTCTCTCTCACTCTTCACCTTCACATCTTCACATCAAAATTGTTGGTATTTTTCGCCGTCTGCGTCCTGCAGAAAATGTCCTTGAACTCTGGAAATTTAAGGTTGGAAAAGCCAGTGAGAGGTTTTTGCAGGCCATTTCTTCCATGGTATCTTGAGGTGCCAAATCCTTCCGAATCCTCCTGGACAAATTCTTCATTGACTCTGCCCGCAAGGCGGGGGAAAATGGGAAACTTCCGAAGTTTACAGTGTTGCGAGAAATTTCCAAGTGTAAGACTGTAGGTGTAGGATGGTGTAGGTGGAAAAACGAAGCACCTCGGTTCGCACAAGTGAAACTGCCAATAACCAGACACCACCAAACTAGGAGCATGCAAAGGTACTGCAACAAATTTCAGACATGGTCTTATGCTAGGATAGCCACATTGTTCAAAGACAACCAAGAGGAGAGAGATTGTCTTGAAGAGTTTGGAGATGTTTGAGGAAGGGTCTCTGATTGCAGTCGAAAGTAGGCGGTTCTTCAAGGAACAAAGGTCTTGCAAAGGAGTCTTGAGGTATCAACGTCATTCAAAGTCATAGCGTTCAGGCGCTCCTTTGCGTTGCAGAACAGAAGCCGTGCTGCAGAGAGGGCGGACTTCAACCGAGTGGTCTGGCTGCATTGGATATCAGACGGATTCAAACTTTGACGTGTCAGAGCAGGTGACGCTCTGCAAAGACAGCTTAATTCATCTTTTAAGCTGTCTTTCAAAGCCATGAGCCTTTCTTTACCCGGAGAAGAGGCGTAGCCAGTTTGATTTGATACAGGGAAGATCTTGTGTTGTTTTTTTTCAAAAGGCTATGAAATGCAGCGCAGTCTGGAAACGGCGAAAGGAAACTGTCAGACAACTTGGATCAGGCGATGCAGGCCGTGGTCAATACCACCAGAGCAGTTTCAGGTGCCGTCCGCCTTGCAGTGGGGAATGCAACCGTTGACGATGCCAAACTCGATCATGTCCACCTTTGAGGGTACCTCTTTAAGAGCAAATACTGTAATCATGTTGTGAGTGCGGCCGGCCTATTATATAGCCAACCAAAGTTTTAAAGCAGACCCTGGCATCACTTGGGAAAGAACGTTAATGAATGAGATGGATCGAGCCTGGTCCATGATTCCAGTGACATTTCAGCTTGGCCTGTGATTGATTGGCTTATCTGAGAAGATTCGCTTGGTTCCATGACGTCCAGTACACCCGTCCGAACCTGATGTGCGATTCGAATAGGTTTTAGGGGAATTGGGGTCTGAAAATCAGCTGAAACTTGCCGGCGGCAAAAAGTTCTCGCGCGACAGGGGGGCTGACTGGTGTCTCCACACGGGGACTTGACAGCAATGTGACCATGAAGGCTGCTGTTGTCAACTGCGTGTCATTTGGTTATTCCAAGAAAGTTCCCGTTATTTCTTGGTTTGCCCTAGGCAGATCCACAGCTTTTTTAATGATCTCAAATGGCTGGGGATCCCTGATATTTTGTCATTTTAGGCGGGGTAAATATATCACTTGAACTGGTGATAAATGATTAAATGGAAGTTGGCCAAGGTTGGCCCCGTCTTTGAGTAATGTTTCAACTTTGAGAGGCTCGGGACCGTGGAGCACTTCTTCCTGACGTACAGTTGACTGTAGGGCTTTGTGGTTTGAGGGCACGGCTCAAATGCAGAAACTTTTCGGAGGCCCGGGGGTTAGGTGTTTGCGGTGTTTGCACCCTTGGATAGAACTGGAGATTTTATCCTGATTCTGAAATCCACCATGATGAGTCAGCAGTTCGCAAAATTCCTTGGTAGTTGAACTTGGCCGGCTGGGAGTTCACTATTTAACCGGAAAATCTTTAACCAGATGGATAGGAATTGGAGATTTCCGGCCAGTCAGGTTCGATTAGCAGATGATATTCATCAAGAGCAGCGGACATCAGTCCATGTGCTTGCTTGTGTACATGTCGAACCTAGCAGATCTAACCAACCCCTTGTTTGATTTGAGAAGTCACACTATGAATGAAGGCTTGCCAGCAGGTTGTTTGGCAACCTTGCCAGCTGCAGTGACAGGTGCCACGAGTTTGCCAATCTTGCATCCTGCTCATATCGCCAAAGGCAGTGCTGGCTTGGTTGGCAGCAGCTGCGCTTAGATCAAGGCTTAAATGTGACACTTTCAGGAGTGCCACGTCACATTGGGGCGTTTGATCTCTGCAAGGCTTCTACTCCCAGAAGTTTTTTACCCTCGCCATCATTGTGTGGGGTTCTTGTTTTTTGTGCAGCAGTACCGCCTTCTCCTCCCTACCCCAACGCCTTGTATATATGATTATATATGTGTATGTACGTTTTCCGTGGTTTCCGTTTACGTGTGAGATTTCCCAAGAGAAACGCCCATGGGTTGCCCGGTTTCGTTGGCAGGCTGATGGCAAACTGCCCAGACTGCCCAGACCACTGGCTAGGTCAAAGAAAATGGAGGCTGGGGCGGAAAACTTCGAAAACGCAAAAAAACGATTCAAACTCCATTGGGTAGGGATACAACTCAGAATGATCAGGTTGGTGGTTTCAGATCATGATATGATTCTCAGCCGTAGCTATCCGGGATGATGGTAGGTGAATTCTCTGAATGATGGTGATGCTCAAGAAGTCCTTAGATTTTCATAGTGGTTGCTGTTGTCTTTTAAGTCCTTTAACAGGGTGCACTATCAGTGACCTTTGGTGACCTGTGAGCTGAGCCATGTGCAACAGGCCAAAATGACGGACTTATCGCGAAACAATATACGTGAAACGGTTTTCATGTTTATTCTGACATGTAACATGCCTGAGGCGAAAACACTTGTTTTGTAAGATGCAACACATGTTTTGCTCTTAATTGTGACATGCAGCAGGCCAGAATAGCACATGCAACAATGACGCTGGCATGAACCAACCCACAAAGTGGAATCAACTGAGGCGAAAGCACTCGTTTTGTAAGATGCAGCACATGTTTTGCTCTTACTTGTGATATGCAGCAGGCCAGAATAGCACATGCAACAATGACGTTGGCAAGAACCAACCCACAAAGCGGAATCACAATTTGTGGATGGAATGCAACCCGCATAAGGTGCAAAAAACGGCAAGGGATCACTCTCTGCAAATTGTTCACAGCTTCTTTGACTGCTGTATGCATTAATGATAAGTGGCGGGGGTTCAAGTGTTTGATTGCAATAAGCAGCGAAGGCCTCTTTTTTTCATGGTAAATAGGCATTATACCAATATCCCATTCTGGCCTGTTGAGAAAGCAAAGAAAAATTCTTAAGAAACTCATCCCTGGAATGCAGCGCTCGAGTTTTGCGAGTTTCGCTCTGGGTTCGGATTTCCCTCGCTTAGAGAAGCGCCAAATATGTGGTTCCTAGGTTCCTAGGCAAAAGCAAGTTTAGCTTATCAATTGCAGCTGCCCAAATGTCTTCAGACCCTCACGCATGAAGAGCCTCTTGCCAAAAAACATGCTGGAAAACACAAATTCCGGTCAAAGTTTGCATCGATTTTTCTTCTCCACGTTCGGCAAACCTGAGTGACGACTCTGAGCTAATTACGTTGACTTGCCCTTTTAGAGGTTCTTTGAATACGCATTGGCTGTCCTCAAAGCACCCACACTTCACTCTTTACGTGAAAACATCGTAGTGGAGGTGCTGCAATATGTAACGTGATGAAGCGCATAGGGTTGTCGAACACGCGCAGAGACGCAGAACGAAAAAAAAACGACTACTTTGAGTGATCACCACCCTGACAATTATTCTGCCATAGTTTTGGACATGTCGCTGTATCATCTGGAATTGTTTATAGCATATATATATATATATACACATATATATATATATGTATCCATATATATATATATATATTCCCGTCCGAATTTCCTCTAGGAAATGGGGGAGCCCGAGCGCAAAATCAGGGATCATTTTCTACGTTTTTTTTCTTTTAAGTTGCATGTTCCAGAGATCAGATTTTGAGATGTTGTTTGGTCGATTTTTTGGTTCGAGTTTGTTTTCTCTTTTCGTTCATTTTCTAGAGTATACATCTGACAAAAATGCTACGACCTTCTTCAAGTGACAATTTTCACCACCTCCTTTTTGTAGAAGCATATTCATCATGTTGAATCAGATCCCATTTTCTAGTCCTTAGTCATTTTTTTTAGGATAAAAACTGTGAAAATTCTTATTTTCTAGAAAAATGACAGCAATCCTATTTTCTAAGAAAATGGCCAACAATCTTATTGAATTCAAACCATCTCATTTTCTAGATTTTTGTTTGCAACATCATTTTCTAGACATAAGATCTCATGTCCTAGGCATCAGAGATCTATACGTACATATATATATATATACATATCTAGACATATATCTCATGTCCTAGACATTCTCATGTCTATACGTAAGATTGCCTTTTCGCGCCCGCCCGCTACAAATCTTCTCTGTTTCCATTTGAAAGCGAAGGTCGGCCCGCAACGGCCAACAAATACATCTTTACCTGTAAATTTAAAGTGAAAATGCTCGTGTTGCACGTCGTGTTGCACATCGTGTTGCACGTGTGTTGCGCGTGTGTTGCACGCGCGTTGCATGGAAATTCACAAGGAAATCAATGTTGGCCGGCAGCGGCCTTGATCACTGTATAGGCTTCTGGCAAGCACAGCCCGGCTTAGCCCACAGGCAATGTGTGGCGGCGCTGCTTCCTGAATCTCGGGCGGCAATTTTGATGAGGGCGCATCTGCGCGCAGAAGTTGTCAGAACTACAACATGCCACTTGCCCGAGCTCACACGTGGACATCCCATTGCGTTGTGGGCGGCACTTTGATGAGGTCACATCTGCATGCAAAAGTTGTCGGAAGTACAACATGAAATTTGCCCGAGTTAACAGGTGGACATCTACAAGTCTAAAAAGCACTCCCGGATCTTCAAAAAAAACAGCCAACCAACTTGAAGTCTGGCGAGGAGAGTTAGACACCCCTGGTCCCCCAATTTCAATGTTGTGTGACAGGAGTGCTTGGCGGAGCCTTCAAAAAAACAGCCAGTCATGCTCCGGCCATTGAGAAGCGATGGTTAGCAACATTGAGACAGGGGGTCCGGGGGCTTCCGGTGGATGTTGAAACTTTTTGGTCGATGGCTGTTTTTGTGAAGAGCCCGGTATGTTGACCTGTTCGTCCTGTTTTTTCACCAGGGTTGCCTTCGTATTTCCTAGTTTTTTTGTCTTTTTGCTGGGTTTTTGATAATTTTCAAGCGTGCCTGCTGCCTTACGATGATTTTGTCAGGCAAAGCAATTTGACTGCATATAAGCCCGCTATTTCCACAATTAGTATATCATCAATGTTTGATGTGCATTTTCGATGTAAATACCAGCACGCCCCTAAAGATAGAAAAGGCACAAAAAAAGGTACAAAGCACATGTTCAACCTGTTCTTCCTTTCACCATGGTTTTTCTTCATATCTTATAGAAATATACTTCTGCAACAAACCCCATGCATGTTCTAGATATGCTATCTGTCTCTCATATTTAAAGCATATTTTTAAATTTCTGAAACTAATCCCAGCATTTTCTAGACATGCTTTCTCTCTCCTCTTTTTTAAAGGCATTTTCTAGAGATAACATTTTGAACATAATCCCACACATTTTCTAGACATGCTTCCTGTCTCCTAATTTTCATGGCATTTGCTAGACAAAAATTGACAAAAATGTTCGAGTTTTTTCTTGAAATATGTCAATTTCTTTTTTGATCAAAAAAACAAAAATCGAGAATTTTTGCTTTGTAGAAAATGCCTGCGATAGTGGCTCCGAGTACCCCCCCAAACCCTCCAAAAAGTGGTTCAGGCATTTTCTAGAAAATTTTCAGGCATTTTCTAGAGTTTTTTTAGCCTGACCGTGGTTTTCTACAGAAAATGAGCCGGCATAGGCTCCCCTTCTAATTCGGACGGGGGTGTATATATATATATATGTATATATACATATATATATATATTTATAGATATTTAAATATATATATATAATATTCTATATACGTATAAATATGTATAAATACATACATATATATGTGTGGGTGTGTAAATATATACTCTATATATTCTGACACCCTACCTGAAAGAACAGCGTATACTCTGACATTCTTTTCTGGCTTCTGGTGTTCTATCTGGCATTTACTCTGACATTCTGTTTGGCATCTATTCTGACATTCAATGTGGAATCTATTCTGGCAGCTTTTCTGGCATTCTATCTGTCATTTACTCTGACATTCTATTTGGCATCTATTTTGACATTCTATGCTGGCACTCTTTCTGGTTGGTGTTCTGACATTCTTTGTGGTATATGTTCGGGTCCGTGCGTGCCCAGCCTGATCTGGAGCTTGCGATAGGCTGCGGGTCCGTGCATGGGGCTCGCCATGAGCTTCTGGAAGGAGATTGCTCCACTTGAGCTGGTGCTTGCTGAAGGAAGAAGCAAGGAGGAGTGGATGGAGGAGTTGCACCTTAGTCAAAATCTACAGAGACCCTCACCTGGCAGGCGGGGACCAACAACATGTGTTTCCGGCTCTGGCAAGCCGCAAATTCCTTCGAGACGGAACCCCTTTCTTGGACCATAACCCATGCATACAAACATGTATTTGTCTGGCGTGAAACAAATGTTTGCAAAACTTAGTTCCCGAGAGCGTCTGAGTGAAGAGTTGCTCTAAAAGTGGACGCCTGCTTTACATCTTTACATGTTCACATCTTCACATCCTCACATGTTCACATACTCACATCTTTTCATCTTCACATCCTCACATCTTCACAGACTCACACCTTCACAGACTCACACCTTCACATACTTACATCTTCACATCTTCACATACTTACATCTTCACATCTTCACATCCTCACAAATGCACATCTTCACACATCTTCACACATCTTCACACATCTTCTCTCTCTCTCTCTCTCTCTCCCTCACACATCTTCTCTCTCTCTCTCTCTGTCTCTCTCACTCTTCACCTTCACATCTTCACATCAAAATTGTTGGTATTTTTCGCCGTCTGCGTCCTGCAGAAAATGTCCTTGAACTCTGGAAATTTAAGGTTGGAAAAGCCAGTGAGAGGTTTTTGCAGGCCATTTCTTCCATGGTATCTTGAGGTGCCAAATCCTTCCGAATCCTCCTGGACAAATTCTTCATTGACTCTGCCCGCAAGGCGGGGGAAAATGGGAAACTTCCGAAGTTTACAGTGTTGCGAGAAATTTCCAAGTGTAAGACTGTAGGTGTAGGATGGTGTAGGTGGAAAAACGAAGCACCTCGGTTCGCACAAGTGAAACTGCCAATAACCAGACACCACCAAACTAGGAGCATGCAAAGGTACTGCAACAAATTTCAGACATGGTCTTATGCTAGGATAGCCACATTGTTCAAAGACAACCAAGAGGAGAGAGATTGTCTTGAAGAGTTTGGAGATGTTTGAGGAAGGGTCTCTGATTGCAGTCGAAAGTAGGCGGTTCTTCAAGGAACAAAGGTCTTGCAAAGGAGTCTTGAGGTATCAACGTCATTCAAAGTCATAGCGTTCAGGCGCTCCTTTGCGTTGCAGAACAGAAGCCGTGCTGTAGAGAGGGCGGACTTCAACCGAGTGGTCTGGCTGCATTGGATATCAGACGGATTCAAACTTTGACGTGTCAGAGCAGGTGACGCTCTGCAAAGACAGCTTAATTCATCTTTTAAGCTGTCTTTCAAAGCCATGAGCCTTTCTTTACCCGGAGAAGAGGCGTAGCCAGTTTGATTTGATACAGGGAAGATCTTGTGCTGTTTTTTTTCAAAAGGCTATGAAATGCAGCGCAGTCTGGAAACGGCGAAAGGAAACTGTCAGACAACTTGGATCAGGCGATGCAGGCCGTGGTCAATACCACCAGAGCAGTTTCAGGTGCCGTCCGCCTTGCAGTGGGGAATGCAACCGTTGACGATGCCAAACTCGATCATGTCCACCTTTGAGGGTACCACTTTAAGAGCAAATACTGTAATCATGTTGTGAGTGCGGCCGGCCTATTATATAGCCAACCAAAGTTTTAAAGCAGACCCTGGCATCACTTGGGAAAGAACGTTAATGAATGAGATGGATCGAGCCTGGTCCATGATTCCAGTGACATTTCAGCTTGGCCTGTGATTGATTGGCTTATCTGAGAAGATTCGCTTGGTTCCATGACGTCCAGTACACCCGTCCGAACCTGATGTGCGATTCGAATAGGTTTTAGGGGAATTGGGGTCTGAAAATCAGCTGAAACTTGCCGGCGGCAAAAAGTTCTCGCGCGACAGGGGGGCTGACTGGTGTCTCCACACGGGGACTTGACAGCAATGTGACCATGAAGGCTGCTGTTGTCAACTGCGTGTCATTTGGTTATTCCAAGAAAGTTCCCGTTTTTTCTTGGTTTGCCCTAGGCAGATCCACAGCTTTTTTAATGATCTCAAATGGCTGGGGATCCCTGATATTTTGTCATTTTAGGCGGGGTAAATATATCACTTGAACTGGTGATAAATGATTAAATGGAAGTTGGCCAAGGTTGGCCCCGTCTTTGAGTAATGTTTCAACTTTGAGAGGCTCGGGACCGTGGAGCACTTCTTCCTGACGTACAGTTGACTGTAGGGCTTTGTGGTTTGAGGGCACGGCTCAAATGCAGAAACTTTTCGGAGGCCCGGGGGTTAGGTGTTTGCGGTGTTTGCACCCTTGGATAGAACTGGAGATTTTATCCTGATTCTGAAATCCACCATGATGAGTCAGCAGTTCGCAAAATTCCTTGGTAGTTGAACTTGGCCGGCTGGGAGTTCACTATTTAACCGGAAAATCTTTAACCAGATGGATAGAAATTGGAGATTTCCGGCCAGTCAGGTTCGATTAGCAGATGATATTCATCAAGAGCAGCGGACATCAGTCCATGTGCTTGCTTGTGTACATGTCGAACCTAGCAGATCTAACCAACCCCTTGTTTGATTTGAGAAGTCACACTATGAATGAAGGCTTGCCAGCAGGTTGTTTGGCAACCTTGCCAGCTGCAGTGACAGGTGCCACGAGTTTGCCAATCTTGCATCCTGCTCATATCGCCAAAGGCAGTGCTGGCTTGGTTGGCAGCAGCTGCGCTTAGATCAAGGCTTAAATGTGACACTTTCAGGAGTGCCACGTCACATTGGGGCGTTTGATCTCTGCAAGGCTTCTACTCCCAGAAGTTTTTTACCCTCGCCATCATTGTGTGGGGTTCTTGTTTTTTGTGCAGCAGTACCGCCTTCTCCTCCCTACCCCAACGCCTTGTATATATGATTATATATGTGTATGTACGTTTTCCGTGGTTTCCGTTTACGTGTGAGATTTCCCAAGAGAAACGCCCATGGGTTGCCCGGTTTCGTTGGCAGGCTGATGGCAAACTGCCCAGACTGCCCAGACCACTGGCTAGGTCAAAGAAAATGGAGGCTGGGGCGGAAAACTTCGAAAACGCAAAAAAACGATTCAAACTCCATTGGGTAGGGATACAACTCAGAATGATCAGGTTGGTGGTTTCAGATCATGATATGAGTCTCAGCCGTAGCTATCCGGGATGATGGTAGGTGAATTCTCTGAATGATGGTGATGCTCAAGAAGTCCTTAGATTTTCATAGTGGTTGCTGTTGTCTTTTAAGTCCTTTAACAGGGTGCACTATCAGTGACCTTTGGTGACCTGTGAGCTGAGCCATGTGCAACAGGCCAAAATGACGGACTTATCGCGAAACAATATACGTGAAACGGTTTTCATGTTTATTCTGACATGTAACATGCCTGAGGCGAAAGCACTCGTTTTGTAAGATGCAGCACATGTTTTGCTCTTACTTGTGATATGCAGCAGGCCAGAATAGCACATGCAACAATGACGTTGGCAAGAACCAACCCACAAAGCGGAATCACAATTTGTGGATGGAATGCAACCCGCATAAGGTGCAAAAAACGGCAAGGGATCACTCTCTGCAAATTGTTCACAGCTTCTTTGACTGCTGTATGCATTAATGATAAGTGGCGGGGGTTCAAGTGTTTGATTGCAATAAGCAGCGAAGTCCTCTTTTTTTCATGGTAAATAGACATTATACCAATATCCCATTCTGGCCTGTTGAGAAAGCAAAGAAAAATTCTTAAGAAACTCATCCCTGGAATGCAGCGCTCGAGTTTTGCGAGTTTCGCTCTGGGTTCGGATTTCCCTCGCTTAGAGAAGCGCCAAATATGTGGTTCCTAGGTTCCTAGGCAAAAGCAAGTTTAGCTTATCAATTGCAGCTGCCCAAATGTCTTCAGACCCTCACGCATGAAGAGCCTCTTGCCAAAAAACATGCTGGAAAACACAAATTCCGGTCAAAGTTTGCATCGATTTTTCTTCTCCACGTTCGGCAAACCTGAGTGACGACTCTGAGCTAATTACGTTGACTTGCCCTTTTAGAGGTTCTTTGAATACGCATTGGCTGTCCTCAAAGCACCCACACTTCACTCTTTACGTGAAAACATCGTAGTGGAGGTGCTGCAATATGTAACGTGATGAAGCGCATAGGGTTGTCGAACACGCGCAGAGACGCAGAACGAAAAAAAACCGACTACTTTGAGTGATCACCACCCTGACAATTATTCTGCCATAGTTTTGGACATGTCGCTGTATCATCTGGAATTGTTTATAGCATATATATATACACATATATATATATATATATGTATCCATATATATATATATTCCCGTCCGAATTTCCTCTAGGAAATGGGGGAGCCCGAGCGCAAAATCAGGGATCATTTTCTACGTTTTTTTTCTTTTAAGTTGCATGTTCCAGAGATCAGATTTTGAGATGTTGTTTGGTCGATTTTTTGGTTCGAGTTTGTTTTCTCTTTTCGTTCATTTTCTAGAGTATACATCTGACAAAAATGCTACGACCTTCTTCAAGTGACAATTTTCACCACCTCCTTTTTGTAGAAGCATATTCATCATGTTGAATCAGATCCCATTTTCTAGTCCTTAGTCATTTTTTTTAGGATAAAAACTGTGAAAATTCTTATTTTCTAGAAAAATGACAGCAATCCTATTTTCTAAGAAAATGGCCAACAATCTTATTGAATTCAAACCATCTCATTTTCTAGATTTTTGTTTGCAACATCATTTTCTAGACATAAGATCTCATGTCCTAGGCATCAGAGATCTATACGTACATATATATATATACATATCTAGACATATATCTCATGTCCTAGACATTCTCATGTCTATACGTAAGATTGCCTTTTCGCGCCCGCCCGCTACAAATCTTCTCTGTTTCCATTTGAAAGCGAAGGTCGGCCCGCAACGGCCAACAAATACATCTTTACCTGTAAATTTAAAGTGAAAATGCTCGTGTTGCACGTCGTGTTGCACATCGTGTTGCACGTGTGTTGCGCGTGTGTTGCACGTGCGTTGCATGGAAATTCACAAGGAAATCAATGTTGGCCGGCAGCGGCCTTGATCACTGTATAGGCTTCTGGCAAGCACAGCCCGGCTTAGCCCACAGGCAATGTGTGGCGGCGCTGCTTCCTGAATCTCGGGCGGCAATTTTGATGAGGGCGCATCTGCGCGCAGAAGTTGTCAGAACTACAACATGCCACTTGCCCGAGCTCACACGTGGACATCCCATTGCGTTGTGGGCGGCACTTTGATGAGGTCACATCTGCATGCAAAAGTTGTCGGAAGTACAACATGAAATTTGCCCGAGTTAACAGGTGGACATCTACAAGTCTAAAAAGCACTCCCGGATCTTCAAAAAAAACAGCCAACCAACTTGAAGTCTGGCGAGGAGAGTTAGACACCCCTGGTCCCCCAATTTCAATGTTGTGTGACAGGAGTGCTTGGCGGAGCCTTCAAAAAAACAGCCAGTCATGCTCCGGCCATTGAGAAGCGATGGTTAGCAACATTGAGACAGGGGGTCCGGGGGCTTCCGGTGGATGTTGAAACTTTTTGGTCGATGGCTGTTTTTGTGAAGAGCCCGGTATGTTGACCTGTTCGTCCTGTTTTTTCACCAGGGTTGCCTTCGTATTTCCTAGTTTTTTTGTCTTTTTGCTGGGTTTTTGATAATTTTCAAGCGTGCCTGCTGCCTTACGATGATTTTGTCAGGCAAAGCAATTTGACTGCATATAAGCCCGCTATTTCCACAATTAGTATATCATCAATGTTTGATGTGCATTTTCGATGTAAATACCAGCACGCCCCTAAAGATAGAAAAGGCACAAAAAAAGGTACAAAGCACATGTTCAACCTGTTCTTCCTTTCACCATGGTTTTTCTTCATATCTTATAGAAATATACTTCTGCAACAAACCCCATGCATGTTCTAGATATGCTATCTGTCTCTCATATTTAAAGCATATTTTTAAATTTCTGAAACTAATCCCAGCATTTTCTAGACATGCTTTCTCTCTCCTCTTTTTTAAAGGCATTTTCTAGAGATAACATTTTGAACATAATCCCACACATTTTCTAGACATGCTTCCTGTCTCCTAATTTTCATGGCATTTGCTAGACAAAAATTGACAAAAATGTTCGAGTTTTTTCTTGAAATATGTCATTTTCTTTTTTTGATCAAAAAAACAAAAATCGAGAATTTTTGCTTTGTAGAAAATGCGTGCGATAGTGGCTCCGAGTACCCCCCCCAAACCCTCCAAAAAGTGGTTCAGGCATTTTCTAGAAAATTTTAAGGCATTTTCTAGAGTTTTTTTAGCCTGACCGTGGTTTTCTACAGAAAATGAGCCGGCATAGGCTCCCCTTCTAATTCGGACGGGGGTGTATATATATATATGTATATACATATATATATATTTATAGATATTTAAATATAAATATATATATATAATATTCTATATACGTATAAATATGTATAAATACATACATATATATGTGTGGGTGTGTAAATATATACTCTATATATTCTGACACCCTACCTGAAAGAACAGCGTATACTCTGACATTCTTTTCTGGCTTCTGGTGTTCTATCTGGCATTTACTCTGACATTCTGTTTGGCATCTATTCTGACATTCAATGTGGAATCTATTCTGGCAGCTTTTCTGGCATTCTATCTGTCATTTACTCTGACATTCTATTTGGCATCTATTTTGACATTCTATGCTGGCACTCTTTCTGGTTGGTGTTCTGACATTCTTTGTGGTATATGTTCGGGTCCGTGCGTGCCCAGCCTGATCTGGAGCTTGCGATAGGCTGCGGGTCCGTGCATGGGGCTCGCCATGGGCTTCTGGAAGGAGATTGCTCCACTTGAGCTGGTGCTTGCTGAAGGAAGAAGCAAGGAGGAGTGGATGGAGGAGTTGCACCTTAGTCAAAATCTACAGAGACCCTCACCTGGCAGGCGGGGACCAACAACATGTGTTTCCGGCTCTGGCAAGCCGCAAATTCCTTCGAGACGGAACCCCTTTCTTGGACCATAACCCATGCATACAAACATGTATTTGTCTGGCGTGAAACAAATGTTTGCAAAACTTAGTTCCCGAGAGCGTCTGAGTGAAGAGTTGTTCTAAAAGTGGACGCCTGCTTTACATCTTTACATGTTCACATCTTCACATCCTCACATGTTCACATACTCACATCTTTTCATCTTCACATCCTCACATCTTCACAGACTCACACCTTCACAGACTCACACCTTCACATACTTACATCTTCACATCTTCACATACTTACATCTTCACATCTTCACATCCTCACAAATGCACATCTTCACACATCTTCACACATCTTCACACATCTTCTCTCTCTCTCTCTCTCTCTCCCTCACACATCTTCTCTCTCTCTCTCTCTGTCTCTCTCACTCTTCACCTTCACATCTTCACATCAAAATTGTTGGTATTTTTCGCCGTCTGCGTCCTGCAGAAAATGTCCTTGAACTCTGGAAATTTAAGGTTGGAAAAGCCAGTGAGAGGTTTTTGCAGGCCATTTCTTCCATGGTATCTTGAGGTGCCAAATCCTTCCGAATCCTCCTGGACAAATTCTTCATTGACTCTGCCCGCAAGGCGGGGGAAAATGGGAAACTTCCGAAGTTTACAGTGTTGCGAGAAATTTCCAAGTGTAAGACTGTAGGTGTAGGATGGTGTAGGTGGAAAAACGAAGCACCTCGGTTCGCACAAGTGAAACTGCCAATAACCAGACACCACCAAACTAGGAGCA